AGTGCAAAGAGTGGATCGTGGAGTGTGGAGTGTGGAGTGTGTGCCCCAAAAGTGAACACTTCCTATTTTTTCTCAAAAATAAAAGTTCTTTGGGTTATTGATAAGGAGAGGCAATGAATGAAAGTTGTATAGTTTTTTTGTGTTTTGGATGTTGGATGGTTTACAATTTCCTGGAAGAAGTGGAAAGAGAACATCCATTTGGTGTTGTTTTTACTAATATGAGATATCAAATAGAGACCCATGAAAATGGGAAGAGGGGAAGAGATTTCTTTCAAATTATTTTGGAACTTCTGTATAGAATTCCTTAAAAGAATACTTATATGATATTTCCCCCACTTACCTGAACTCAAATGGATTCCCGGCAAAATCACCGACGATTCCGCTTTGAAGCCTCCCGTCTGAAGACCACTGCTGCTCGTTGGCTTCTCCATTGCCATATCCAGTGTGGTGGATCCATCCAATTCGACGAGGGTGTTGCCCTTGAAAAGCCCCGCGCTGCGGTACTCCTTTGCAAAGGGTGTCGCCGCCTGGGCCGCCCCCGAGACCATTAATACTAGCCACACAATCTGGCACATTATTTCACTTTGAGCCACTTCTCTCGGCCACATCGTGGACAGCTTGCACACAGGTTGCACTCCACACACAGACACTCATACAATATACAAGGGGGGGGGAAAACGACGCTCCAGTCTATTGGGGGAATTATAATTTAGACGACGCGTGACACTTTCAATTAACACCGAACACAGATCACGGAGTGTGCGAAAAAAAATGTATAACTTTTGATCATTAAATTAGTTAAAGTCGAGCAGCGCGACACCGCGACAGTGACTTGACTTTGATGCGGACCGTAAATTAAATTTTGCTCTCTTTTTGCGGCGCTTTTATTTTTTTCTTTTTTTTCTTATGTTCCGCCAGTTAGTGAAATTATGTGTGTCAGCAATTAGTGGAGACGACCGCCGCCCGTCCGTCCGTCAAAGCCAGGGGCTGGCCAGGGCCTTAAGTGTGTCACACGATTTTGGGCACTGCAAAAGATAACAGAGATGGGGATATACGATTAGTATGGCTTTAAGGAAGAGAAGATAATGTGCATGCAAATCACTTAAAAAAAAAAACCTTTAGGCAGCAGAACAAACACTAGAATTCAAATAACCACTGCACACCGATCGTTAAGTGCGATTTTTATCGAAGTTTCGTTTAATTTGGAAAGTTTTATTGGATTATTTTCCAGAAACACAGGGTCAAACAACGTATCACTTTTATGGCAGCTGATTTTTCTGATTTTGGTCAAATTTGGCACGATTTCACTTGCTAATAAACTGGATCTATAAGGTTAAACTATTTTTGTTACGAATCCGTCTTTCCGACCGATAAATTGGAGAAATGACAGTAATGGGGCAGGGTAGGAAATTCCTTCTCTACGCTTGGCCAACTTCTCCGAACTATAGAACTGTCTGAAAGGTTTTACTAACAACAAAACTATCCCATATCACTTATTTAATAATGTAGTTTACTGTACATACATTCATATGTCCACATATAACGTTACTTTCTGCCTATGCCATTCCCTCATTCTCATTCCTAACGGAACACATTGCCGACAGCTGTTCGAAATGCAGTTATGTTGACATATACTACGAGCGCAGGCGCAAGCGCCGTTTCAGCGATATTTGCTATCAATCAAAACACAGCCACGTTAATTTCCATATAAATTTCCCCATAATCTGGTGGGCATGCGCGGGACGGGACGGTACAGGACATGGAAGAGCGGATATAAGCCCATGAAAATTCCATTCCCGCAATATGGAAATGAAGTAAATCAGAAAAAAAATCCCACAATAATCCCAGCCTCTCCCACGCCCCGCTCTCAATGATATGAGGCTGTGCGTGTGCGAGGGAGAGATGCGCCCTTAGCGCCGCTCATAAAAATATCAATGGAAGCGGTAAGAGAGAGAGGGAAATGAAGCGCAGCGGAGGCACAAACACATGGCAGCTGCTGTCTCGCTCTAACAGCGCTTAGGGGGAGCATATAATTAAAAACAACAATAAAAACTGATGGATGGACACACAGACACACGCACACACACCACACACACTCGCACACAACCAAAAAGGCTTTGAATAAAAACGAGTTTTAACAAAATATTTTTGCATTGCACAAAAAACAAACACACTCCAATCGCACGCGCACAACCAAAAAACAAACAAAAAGGCAATATCAAGACAATAACCCTTTTAAGTCATATCCGCTAAAAGGGGCGGGCAAGAGAAATAGCGGCATGCACAGGCAAGTGCAATGTTTGTTATTGCATGTCTTTGCCTGTCCGCTGCTTATTTGTGCAACAAAACGAAATTGGCAAGAGAACTTTCCTTCGGGATCTGACCCATACCTTATTTGTTTGTGTTTCTTAAACAACTTTTCATTAAATTTGTTTATTCCTTTTTGCACTTTCGTCTCACTGTCTTTTCGAACTAACGGTGAATGCACGAAACGTATGGCGCACGCGAAGCCAACGACAAATTCATAGCCGCAAAACGACCGATCGCCTTTGTTGTTAACTGGGATGACAAACAGTTCGTAATTCCACAATACGAAATTTTTGGTCCAAATGAATATCTCGACCAACAACCAAACGAGCGCGCGCAACGAACCGCAAGATCTAAAATTTTTTTTCAAACTATTAGAGGTGTCAAACAGTCGTGGGCACTATCGATAGTATCGATATTTTACTGATGGCCTCTACTATCGACGGTTTTGAGACTATCATGATAGTATCGAGCTACAGTCGTTGCGCTTTTGATATGTTTGGATTGGCTGCTATAAAATACGAAGACAAATTTGTAAAAAAATCGACAGGTGGCATCTAATTTTTACAATGGACAAGTTCCTAAAAGGTTTCAATGGTTTTTTAATAATTATTTCAGCCCGATACTATCACGATAGTATCGATTGTTTTTTCAAAACATTCGACGTTGATATTCCTCGATATTGATATTCCGTTTAATATTACCAGCTAGCTGGGACTCTCAGCCATAAACAAATAATTTTATCCGATAGATACATACATTTTCTACAAGATTGGCAAGTTTTCAGAAGTCCTTTTTATTGGATTATTTACATATTAAGGTTCAAACAAAAACAGCATAAAACGAATTTGTCGTCGTTTTGTGGCGCTGCCAGACTCGTGCAATTCGTAGTTGCTGCGGGCTGCCATACCGTGATATTTTGTGATATGAAATTCGTCAATTTTGATATTCAGTTTAATATTACTAGATAGTTGGCCCTCTCAGCCGTAAACAAATAATTTTATCCGATAGATACATAAATTTTTTTCAGGATTGGTTAGTTGTTAGAACTCTTTTTCATTGGATTGTTTACATATTAAGGTTCAAACAAAAACGGCCAAAGCATAAAACTTAAATGTTGACTAAATGTTACGTCAGTGTTGCTGGTCAACCAAGTATCTTCTATGCGTATGTACTTTAATATACCTTATTTCTTTTAATTGGTGTTAAATGTTTTGTTCCAAGCTCCATTGAAACATTATTTATGATTTTATACTAGATTGACATGGCTTTTACATATTAATGCACATGTTTGTGTGTTATAAATACATTTATCCCGGTTCTGATACCTATTATTGGTAGTCGAGAGCTGCAAAACTTTGTTTAAAACTCTTGAGAACAGAGACTGAGTCGTTTCTGCATTAATTGGAGCCTGAAATTACAAACAATATCTCAAGTCCATAATATCCATTTTTCCAAGGTATGCAGATTGTTGCTCATTCCGTGCCAAAGTTGCACAACAGTGCTGCTAATTCATTTCCCCATGTTGCTAAAATTTTTCCCATACAAATCAAATGTATCATACGGGAACGCGTATGGAATGACGCAACAATGAATCTTTAAGTGTTTTGTCTATTTAAAAAATAAAAAATATAATTCATAATATTTCATAACATTTTTTTGATTGTATCTATTGTGTCCTTTATTTCAATAACATTTCTTTGGACCTGCTTGAAGGAGCCCTCGTCAAAGCAGCATAGCTTGGACGTGTCTGCAGAAAGTGGCAGTGTCTTGTACTGCTTCTCCTTGACGAACTTCCAGATCCTTCTTTTTTGTTTGAATTTGCAGGATTTCCCGGGCACAGGAGCCAGGGAAGAAAAACCAAGGCAATCCGGCGATTAAACGGGACTTAACCCACTTAACACCCCTCCCCAATATTTAAAAAGTTATCGAAAAATGTCAGTTTTTCAATTGTGATCACCGCCATCTGTTGGTAGTTACATGAATCTTACGTGGGAAATGTTAGGCATGAGACTGTTAAAAAGCAGTACTGTTAATCTAACAGAAAAACTGCTTGCGTACACTGCTTGTCTATTATGCTTGCTTGTTAGTGCCGCCAAAATTTAAAATAATATGTGAAAAAGGAATTAAAATATTTTCGCATTGTTACAAAACAACACTAATTTACAACATTAAAGATTTAAAATTGGCAATGTTAAAGTGAACGTTTTTAACTTCTAAAATGTTCTAAGCTTATTCGCTTTTCAACCAATGAAAAGCCTTGAAATTTTTAACCAATGAAAATCAACCAATAGGAAACTGGCAAAAACAGATAGTATTTTTGGTACAGGTCACACTAGTTTTTTTGGCTGGTTGGTCACACCAATTTGATTTGAAAATGCGCACGCCCTTCCGGGAAAAAAGGACCTCATGCATGTCCTTCGTACAACACCCCTAACGTGCGGGGTTAAGTTTCATTAACAGTTCGGCCAATCAGCGCCTCGCAGCCCTTGGCTGCAGGTTGTTGCAGGACGAAGTTTTTTTATTAAGCAGAATTTAAGGCGTCTTTGCTGTTAATTCTTTTGATGTGGCGCATAATTTGTTTGTTTTTGCTAGCGCCGGCAGCGTCAGCGCAGGATAAGCGTCGCTGTCGCTGTCGCCGTTGCCGTTGCCGTTGCTTGACCCAAGAGGTGTCCCGCTGCCGGCCATCGGAAGTAACGCCAATTTCAGTCGCTCGCCGATTATACAAGCGATTAGTCGTCCATAAACGAACCGAACCGAATCGCCTCAAATGCAACGCCAACACCAAGATCTGGTGACCGCCGTGGAGGGAAATGCTGGTGGGGATCGCATCACGACCCAGTCCAGTCCCATTCCGTTGCAGACAGACACAATTATCACGACGACTCCGCCGCAGCGTCCATCGTCGCCGCGACAGTTCTTCGAGAGACTCTACGGGCACCTCGAGACGCGCAGCAGCGAGAGCGGCGACATCGATGTGGTGGGCACCCACCACAAGCCTCCGCCTGGCTGCGACACACCCTACCACAGCGATGGCGGCAGCGTCTCGTCTCCGGACATTTCAATCAGCGATGAGCGCGTGTCCCTCGTTGGATTTCCCTCATATGACTTTTATGGTGGCTCCAAGGACTCGCCGCAGAAGCACAGCTACGGCAATACCCTGCCTGGAATTACGCCAGGACACGGAGCTCCCGTGCCCGTACTGCCAGCGGGATTTCCACCCGGCTTTCCTGGTGATCCGCATTTCAGCGCTGGATTTACGGCCTTTTGTGAGTAGAAATAGTAGTTTAGGGGGCTCGAAAGATCTAACCTAAGATGGAGTTGTGTTTGCCAGCAGATTGAAGCTGCAGATGAATAGCTTACGGATATTTGAGAATGATCCTAGCGATAATATTGAATAGATATTTTACTTGGAATTGAGTTCTTTGGATACAAAATTGAGTATCGGATATCTTGATGTCGGGGAACGCGTGATTTGGATTTCAATTAAAAAGTTGTTGTGCCTGCCCCAAAGACAGATTAGTCCTTAAATTGCGCCTGAAATCACTGTGGACGCCATCTAGTCCGAAAACATAATAAATTAGCAGTGGAAATATGATAGATAGATAGATGAATTGCTACAGGAAAACTGTAAGCAAAACCTCAGCTAAGGGACACCAACCCACAGCTACAAAATTCCCTGTAGTTTCCCAATGATTCTTTGATTGGAATCATACCTCAAATCAACGAACAACACATTTTCAGCAGCTTCTTTGCTTCTCAACCCTTAGATCTTATTATGAGGTTTGTTGTTCTTAAACGCTAAGTACATGAGTAAATTTCAGCTACTACGAAATGTTTCCTAACTACATATTGTAAAAACCATACATTTTGGTGTAATTTTTGTTTGTACTACTTTGAGGGCGTCTTTGGAGTGTTCGGGTCCTCGGTGGCTCCTGCTGGGTGCTTCTCGTCGTGCAGCAGCTTCATGTTGCGTAGCTCCAGGCTGAGGAACATCTTCAGGTTCGGATCGGTGATCTTGTTGAGAACTATCTCGCGGGCACGCTCATCATTGTTGTCGAGTAGTTTGGCCAGAGTCTGGGCGTAGTCCAGCCACACGCAATTGGCACAGCCGGACATGCAGCATGTGGTGGGCTCTGGCGGTATCTGAAGGTAGAAAAATCTCTTGCAAAATTTCGAAAGGCAAGCTAAGATCTTGTAGAACACTTACCACAATGTCCTTGGGCGTTTTATCGGCCAAGTGCCGGGCCAGGGAAGCGATGGCCCAGCGTCTTCCTCCACCTCCTCCGCGCCTGAGGAGCAAACAGCGCGGGCAACTGAAGCCCAGAGGAGCCAGCATTTTGCACCAGATCTCGGGAATAGCACCGAAACTCTATGACTGGAAAGGCGTTGAGGAAGTGATGAGCATTTCACACGCCTCCTCCGAAAGACAGGTGCCGCCGAGAGCAGGCCACCAAAAAACTTAGTTCCGCAGGAACTACAAAAAATCGGATGCAGAAAAAACCCTGATTAAGTGCAAGTGATATTGAATATCCTTTCAGCAAGGATTATGCAGAAATCAGCAATGAAAAAAGCTCGAAAGCATGGACGGGGGGGAATTGGCCACACAATGAGAAATGGGGAAAAGAAATTAGTTGGGGCAGCGAAAATATGAAAAAAAAATATGAATGAAAAGAAAAAAATTAAAATGCATTCAGCCGTGAAAGTTTTCGTTTACTTGCGGCATTTTCGTTTTCTTATGCGGCTGAAGAGGTTTGCGGTTGGCGGCTTGTGGTGGGGGGATTCGATTCAGGTGTGTGTTCAGGTGTTGCAAGAAGGATAATGAAAAAGGATCATGCCGCACTGAAGGCAGTGAGGCAAATGGATGGGTAATCATGGAAGCAATTGATGAAATTGTTTGCCGGTGCAAAAGTTTAAGTTATTCGAGGGAGCTCTAAAGAAACATCATCATGATTTAATTTTTGATTCTTTCAAGTTACAAAAATAACATTTATTGGAATAAAATTCCTTTTAAATATATTTATATTGAAATTTTCATTAAAATAAATTTAAATTCTAACTTTTTTATTGATATCTTATTAAAGATACTTTTTTTTTTATTGCTTAAGGACATTCTCGTTGATGTTCGTCCAAGTCCATATATATTTTTTTATATACATCCATAAAAATCAATACCTTGAAGACTCTAGAAACAAAGAGAATATCCTAAAATATATCACATTTAATTCTATCCTTTATTCTTCTTTAAAAAAGTTCATGAAATATGGATACAGCATTTTCGTAAAACAAATTTCCGTTGAGTAAAATTAAGGAATTGATGAACATTAATGACCTTGGGTATTCTTTTTGATATTTAATTGGGTCGTTTGGGTATAGATTTTATATGTAGTTCAAAAATTGATAATAGAACTCACAGATAATCGCGCTCTACTCTTGGAGATCCATAATATCCTTAATTCAAAATTTTTTGCACCCAATCGCTGTCTATAACGAAGCGTATTGCTCATTGCTGTCGCAAGAAAAACTAAATCAAACGAAAATCTATGAAATCTATACCCCCCTCCCACCCAACCGTGTCACATATTCATTTACAATATTCATTTAGCCTCCAAGCAAAACTTGTACAAATCATAAGTAAGCCAACAAAAAATTAGCATTGTAATTGAGAGCTTGACAGGAAACCTAAAAAAACAGACGGACACACACTCTGGCCAAGGCACCAGAGATAGGGGGAACCACAACAGAACCGTCCAAAGGACACTTGCATATCGAATTTCACACGTGATTTCAAAGACGAACAACAACAAAAAAAAGTGAGAGCCAGAAAGGAAGAGGAAGGCTGGCGGAAAGCAGAAAACTTAAGCCTGTTTTGTGGCAAAAGGGGTAATCAAGCAAAAACTACTCGTAGAGATTAGCAATGTACCCTCCTCCTCCACTGGCAATCCGTAGCACCCAAAATCTGCTTTTTTTATCTATATCTTTATCTTTCAACACCCACGGAAACAACTTGTCAGCTTCGCCTTGTTACATCAATTAGAAGTCTCTAAAGCCCACCGAACAATGTTATGCGCTAAGCGGTGTGGATGGTGCCGCCACGCCACACGGGAAGGTTGGGAGTGGGGAGTGGGGGGGGGCATAATGTGCGGTTGGTTGGACCAATTCGGCGACAACGACTGAGCCCGATACGACACCGCACAGTCAGCAAATGCAAACAAACGAATAGTCGGACGGATGGATGGATGGATGGAAAATATGAATGAGGAGAGTCCTCACGGATGATGATGATAATGATGATGATGAGGGTGATGGGGGAGGGGAGGGCTGGGCAGCTGTTGGCATTGTTAAAAGTTTCCCGGATCAGCAGCATAGGATTGCTTGCCCAAAACAAGAAGAAGATGATGATGTAAAAAAAAGGAAACTTTGAGCGGACTGGAAAACACGTGTAAAATGCATTCACTAATGTGCAGCACAAACGCGATGAAGCACAGAACCCCCGGCCAAAGGCGGTGGTTAATTATTTGTTTAACTTAACAAAAAACACGCAAACCACATTCGTAATCGTTTAGTTCATCGAGGACTTGGCTGGATGGTTTCTTAATGTAAGATTAATTTCGCTCTAACATCTCTATTGTGTGATGGGCATATGAATAGGCAGGGGACTGGGCATTGGAATTGATAAGGGAAATAGTTCCGACTATGAATAAACGTTTAGAAATTTTAGGGGAAATCAAATCGTGATCTATTTAGCCATTGAGTCGGGCATGGGGAATACTTATGGCTTTGAAAATGCCTTTAGAATAAATGCGAATGATGATTCGTGGACTAAGAAAGAAAGGAAAGGACTGAGAAAAATGTATGAATATTGCAGCTATGAATATCTCATTTGCTGTGGGTTTCTGATATATATTTGAACTATTTGAATCCCATTGAGATACATGACCAGGGTAAGGAATAGATGGAAATTTTAATATATAATACCTACCAACATTTTGCTACCTTTATGCTACCAATATTTCAAGAATTTTAAGGGAAATTTGGAATTCGATGAAGGGTTTGGCCGTGAATAAAAATACCCAGCAAGGGGCAAAAATTGAGTATAGTTACGAATAGAATGTGCAGTCGATTGGGAAAAGATATGGCCCGAAATACGAAGGAATACATCGAGTTCAAGTCGATTGGGAATAGATATAACTACAAAAAATCATCTCTTTAGCTTATGGCTAAAAATATCTATAGTGGCAACCATTTCTATCCCCATTTCTCTCTAACACCAATTCCTCTCCATTTTTAGTGGCACGCCGTCGTCGCAAAGAGGGAAGACAGCGTCGCCAGCGTACCACCTTCAGCACCGAGCAAACACTGCGCCTCGAGGTGGAGTTCCATCGGAACGAGTACATCTCCAGGAGTCGCCGCTTCGAGCTGGCTGAAACGTTGCGGCTCACAGAGACGCAAATCAAGATCTGGTTTCAGAATCGTAGGGCAAAGGACAAGCGGATAGAGAAGGCGCAAATCGATCAGCACTACAGGTGAGTGGAGCACCGAAAAATGGGGAATGTAAATGGGAATGGGTTTCCCTTTGAAACGGAAGTAATTCAAGGAAATGTCACAATTTTAATTGATGTCCCTCCCACATAAAATTAACACGAAATTAATTTTACGACATTTATGCGCACACAAACGCAATTAGACAGCGGGGACATATCCTTATCATGGGGGAGAGCGGTTGGGTTGTTGTGGTGTTGGTCGTTTTCCTCAAGCCGAATGCGAGTATTATTTGATGTAATCAATTTTTCAGAAACTTTGTCGTGGCCAATGGTTTTATGAGCTCTATAATGGGTCATCAGACTACATCGAGTTACGCCGCCCCGGCCAGCAGTGCGACGCCGTCCCTTCCACATGGAGGAGGCATCGGCGTGGGCCTCGGCTACTATCCAACGCCAGCGGCGACGGCAGCGCTGCCAAAGGACAGCACGCAGGGGCACGTAAACAACAATGGAGGAGGACATCCAGATGCTAATTATATAGACATCGACGAGCGATACGAGACGCAGCCACGCCGACGCCTTCCCTTCAATATCAGCAACAGCAACAGCCACAGCAGCGGCGTCGGTGGCGGCAGTGGCAGTGGCAGTGACAGCAATCGAGCAGTCAATACTTGCTAGCAATTAACCAGGCAGCTAGTTTTAATTGAGCTTTAACTTAGATTTAGCCACTAAACTAATCATCAGCTTAAGCTAATTACCGAATAAATTTAGCTGAACAACAAAACACTAAACCAACGTATTTCTCTGCTTTTCTCACCTTTTAGACACTAGTGAAAGTTTATATAGAGCATTTGCACACTCTTAGCCCCCGCAGGCTTTTCTTTATATAAGAAAATAGACGAGAAATATTTGTTTTTAACAAATACAAGAAAAACTAACAAACAATAATGCAGCCCTGCGGGGCAAACAGCTGTTGCTTAACAGAGACATGTAAAGTGCAACAGTGAAATGTTAATCACAATGTTAGCATTAACACAACGCATCTCCCAAATATTTTGACATTCGGTTTAATATTACTAGCTAGCTGGGACTCTCAGCCCTAAACAAATAACTTTATCCGATAGATACATAAATTTTTTTAAGAGATTGGCAAGTTTTCAGAAGTCCTTTTTATTGGATTATTTACATATTAAGGTTCAAACGAAAACAACATAAAACGAATATGACGTCGTTTGTGGCGTTGCCAGACTCGTACAATTCGTAGTAACGGGCTGCCACCATGATATTTTGCTACCCGTTTCATTACCGATTCGCTTTGAACTGAAAAAGAAGATAAATTTTCCGCAAATAGGAAGAAGAAGACAAAAATATCTTACGCAAAAAGGAAGAAGACGAGCCTCTGCGGAAAATTTTAAGCCCGTTTAACAGAGGCATGTAAAGTGCAACAGTGAAATTTTAAGCACAATGTTAGCATTAACACAGCATTAGCGCAGCCTAAATTTTCCTTTTTTTGTTTTCCTTTTTTATTTAAATCCTATTTTACAAACAATCCAATAAAAAGTGAGTACGTAAACCAATCACTCTAGTAATAAATAGATACATTTATTGGACAAAACTATATTTTTAGTGCTGAGCACTCTAGCTAGCTAGTATAATTAGGCGGAACATAAAAATCAAGGAATATCATTTCAGAAAATGGTCTTTTGAGAAATTAACCCATTTTGGGCCATATTAAAAATATATCCTTGAAACTTGAAGAATATTAGGCGCAGTTCAAGTGAAATGAAAGATATCGTGGTCATGGATCTACAAGAAGATTCACAAACAGTACTAGTACTATTTAACTCAAGTTGTTCAGTTTAAATAGATGTTTTAAATTGGTGGGTTACGTGGGCTAAGAAGAACTTCGGCATGCCACTGCCACACTGTTTACAGCTCTTCTTCTTTCCTCGTGTTCTCAACCTGCAGTTTTTGTGTTTGTTAATTTGGTTATAATAGCTGATAACCATGGCAAATCCAATGCGAATCAAGGAGGAGACATCCGGGGAAGATCCCCCCACCACGGAAACCATCGAAATACCCGATCGGGAGGATGATGTAAGTATCAAAGCTGAGATTTCGGCATTCTAGCCGCACATACACACACACCCAGCCCCAAAGTATGGGGTATGGGTGCTCTTGTGTTCCTGTGTTTGTGTGTATATGTTTGAATGGCAATGTCTCACTGTGACGCATCTTTAATGCGTTTTACTCCCGCCCGCCCCGCACCCGTTGCTGTATGCTACGTCATGCGCCCAGCAGGACATATGTGAATTGGAGCACTTGCGTAAGCTATTTATCGGCGGCCTGGCGCCCTACACCACAGAGGAAGGCCTCAAGGTGTTCTACGGCCAGTGGGGCAAGGTGGTCGATGTGGTGGTGATGCGCGATGCAGCCACGAAACGTTCGCGTGGTTTCGGCTTTATTACCTACACAAAGTCCACGATGGTAGACAAAGCACAGGAGAACCGGCCCCATATCATCGACGGCAAGTATGTTGTGCTATTTATACACCATTATTCTCCGAATGGGATAAAAAAGATTATTGTTTATTGCTTGCAGAACGGTGGAGGCCAAGCGGGCGCTACCACGCCCGGAGCGTGAGACCCGTGAGACCAACATATCCGTGAAAAAGTTGTTTGTCGGCGGCCTAAAGGACAATCATGATGAGGACTGCCTGCGGGAGTATTTCGTGCAGTTTGGTCGAGTCGTTTCCGTCAAGCTGCTCACCGACAAAACCACCGGCAAGCGTCGCGGATTTGCATTTATAGAATTCGACGATTACGATGCTGTGGATAAGGCAATACGTGAGTAGAAAGTGTCCTCCTCCTGCATATCCCTCTAATGTATATTTCTCTGCTAGTTCAAAAGCAACATTCCATTAAATACGTGCACGTGGATGTTAAGAAATCTATTTATAACTTGGAGAAGAAAGACAAACAGTCCCAGGGACCGCCGACCAATGGCAGCAAGCCGCCCCAGCAACAGCCACAGCAGCCGCCACAGCCGCACAATGGCAATATGCAGGCGCCCGGCTACCGTCCGCCTGTGCCGCCACAGCAAGCAATGCCTCCGTACCCGCACCAGCCGCCGCCACCAATCAATGCCCCGCCACCCAACTACAACTACTGGGGCCCGCCGCCGCCGATGCAGGGCTACTACCAGCAGCCACCGCCGCAAATGAACGGCTGGAACGGCTATCCACAGAATGGCTGGAATGCTCCGCCGCCGCCACCGCCAGGCCCGCAGCAGTGGCATCCCAGTCAATGGGGCTGTCCGCCACCAGTGCAGCCACCGGCAGGTGCAGGGGGTCCACCAATGGATCATCATCGCAACGGGCCGCCCCCGCCAGCACCGGGTAACTGGAACATGCCGCCCAATGCCCCGCCACCCATACCTGGAGCACCGCTGCCGCAAGGTCCGCCGCCACACCAGCAACCGCCTCCAAATTTCGGCAGCGGCTATCAGCAGAGCTACGGCGGGGGCCCTACCAAGCACAACAATATGAATGCGAATCGCATGAACCCCTATGCGGCAGCTCCCCCCAACAATTACCGTGAGTGGATTCGCTTGGTGCGTAATGTGTATGCTTCATGAGTTTACGTTTCGTCCACAGACAATGCACAGCCGCCAGCTGCTGGCTATGGATCGTACAATGCTCCAGCTCCTCCGCCGAATGGAAATGCACCGCTGCCAAAGGGCGTGTCCAACGGCTCGGTGGCCGTTGGGGGCAGTGCCAATAGCAAGTATCGCCGCTAGATCGCCGGTAAGTAGAGCGCCCTGCGGCCGCATCCCGTCCCTCCCGCCATTTAGCTGTCGTTTAAGTCATAAGAAATCGAAACAACGCCCCCGCCAGATACGTCTTGCCGACCCCCCCCATATGTATGTTTAAAAAATGTTTAACGTATGAACTAATGTGTACAATTCTTTTTGATTTAGATGCCTTTTTGTGCGCACTTTGTGCAGCAAAAGAATCAAGATACTGTTAAGATAGCAACACACACTCGCTTAGAGTTACGTAAAAACAGAAACACACAGAAAAACAAAACAGGACACTTAACGCATTGTCTCTCTATCTATCATAGGACAACTAACTACGGTTTTTACTCTACACCTAAGCTATACCATTGATAATTTAACTATCGATCTAAGCCACAGACTATATGTATAAATATTTTCTATAACAATGTTTGGGAGGTCCATAGGTCGGTCCCTTAACCATTTTTGCATACATCTGAATGCATGTATGTGGGAATGCTTACCCATTTAGAACGGGGTGGGAGAATATGCCGGAATGAATTTATTTCAAAACTTTACGGATGGATGACGACTACCAGTGCTCTCTATCTTAACAATCCTCCCAATCTCTGTACATTTTCAAAACCAAGCGTCCGTGCAGCGCGCGTTTTGCTTGCAAAAATATTAACTAAGGATTGACACAATGGAAGCAATAAATAAATTAGTAATTAGTTACAAAATACGCAGCTTTAGCCTGAGCTTATTGGCCATAATTCGTATAGCTAGATAATAGAGCCTTTGTATTACCTAAAAGAGAAAAGCAAACAAACAAACAAAAGCAAAAAAAAGATACGTCCAGAAATAATATAAACGTAAACGAAATACAAAACAAAAAAATCAAATCGTAATCAAACCAAACGCTAAGCTGGCGGGCGTAGCACGGGTGTGTGGGTGGCCTTAACCTATCGATGTACACACGAGTTGATATCAAAACTATTGTCAATTTTTATAGAGCAAAAAGATTATATACACCATATACGACTCGACTACTACTATCTGCTATACAAGACACCCCAAACATGATTCTATAATGCTGTAAAAAGGTTTCTCCACACCAAATGTCATTGAACTACCCGTTCATTCCACTGATTGGCTGGATTAACACATTATGATAGCATATAGGCTACGTTTAAGTAGATATATGATTAATCAATGATCAAAATAGGTAATTTCAATCAAAATTTGCAATCATTAGAATGTCTAGAATCTGACAAAATCATTTGATTTCATATATAAAAGGTTTTAAAAACTTTAACGATAAAAACATTCAATTGCCCATTTAATAAAAGAAAAGTTTTGTGTAATGTAACAGAATTGAAGCTATTAGTGTTGAGTAAGTTCATTCGAACCGATTTTAATCGTTTCCCATAAGACATTTAATCCAGTTTTCTCATTTATCACCAGAAATGTATTGCAAAATGCAAAAGTACTGGAGCTTATAGTGTTGAGAATCATCGGATAGTGTTGAAAAATTCGAATTTATCATTAATTACCATTACCATTAATCCAGTCAATCAGTAGAATTACGAAAATGCGCGCATGATTTTTTTTTGTTACTATTATTTTGTTGCTTTTTACGTTTGGAAGTCCAGCTTTTGGGCAGATTCCCTTGTTTTTGTTTGACAAACGATGAGAAATTATATATATGTATGTTAAGTTTGAGTACGAACCACGACACACGAAACTCTAAGTTAAGTTTAGATCAACAGTTTAACTAGATGTATGAAACATTATTCTCTCTTTCTACAATATTATTACTATATTATATGTATGCTTACGTTCTGTAGCTCACGCCAAAGGCTTTGAATTTGATCTATGAATTATATTATATACTATATATATTATATATAATATTAATTATGTATTGAGAATAAGTGACAAAAATGACAAAAAATATGCAAAGAGGCTCAGTCCACAGGTCCACTTTGCCAGCTTCAGTTAGAGCCAGTCCTCCTCTACTCTCTACATTTACGAATACAAAACACCACTAATCACTTAACCGAAAATATATGAAAATTCGTATTTATTTAAAATAAATAAAACCTGAAAAACCAACACTATGTATCTGTATCTAAACATTTATTTTGAGCTACTATCCAGCTGTAAGTCTCTCTCTCGCTCTCTCTCTATCTCTCTCCCGTCCAAGAAGTGAATGCAAGTCTAAGTAGTCACTAATCTGTAATACTATCATAAAGGTTTAGTTAATTTTTAATGCAATTCTAGGTACGCAAACGTAAACGCAAGTCCATACACAATTTTCGAACTAATTTTAAACATATTTACCATGAATTCTAAGCCCTTAAAACGCTTGAGACAAGCTTGTTGTGTAGCCTTAAGGTAAGTTAGCGAAGAGGCAACCACCCACCAGGTGTACTCGTACTTCAGATCGTAACATTCGCATAGGATACAATATCGATATATACTTTTCTATAAGTGCGCTTAAGTACCTCGCTTATACAACTAGCAACTCAAATCTTTATACCACAAATCTCTAAGCAGATTATTTCTAAAACAAATCACAATATTTCTTTTCCCAAAAAAAAAACAACTCCAAAACCCTGAGACCATGCTGGAGAGGGGAAGAACCAAACGAACTCTTGGATCTACAATGCAGGTAAGTTATAGATTATTTACTGAAATGTTGTCCATACAAAAAAAAACAGTATAACTAATAAAAACAAAGAACTATAAAAAACTGAATACTTATTGCGTTTTCTCTGCAAGCGAACATGTTGCAAGGCAGCATGTTTGAGGCGACGGCACGGACCCCAATCCCAAATGTTGGATGTGCTCCAGTTTTTTTTTACAGCGGCATCCATAATCATTCCAGACCAATTCATTCATTCGCCATCCCCCAACGCGCTTAGACATATTCGAAAAAAGGAATTACACTTGAACAATACAGTGAGTACATATTTTAAAGAACGGATTGAATATTACGAGTGTCAACGTAAGAAGTGTTCAAAGTTCATTGGATCGTTTTGGATTACTGCAATCGCAGCCCTGCTTTGGTTTTTTCTCAAGTTTCCGCTTCAAGTTCAATGTTTTGCAATATTGGCAAATTGGTCAGCGAATCTATTGATGATTAATTGAGCTAAATTTTTTGTGGAAATTTGCCAATCAATTTCGAGCTACTTTCATTCGCATGTCAAGTCGGTATTGTTCTATGTGTTGCAAGGTCAAGAGTGCCCCTTAGAAGTGTCATCAGCATCATCGTTAGCAGTTTATGCAGTTCCGCAAATTAATCTAAATTGTTTTGCTTGAAGAGGGGTAGCAGGAGGAGTCATTCCACTTCGTTTCATCAGCCTCCCAACATAAATATCTGTGTGGCTATATACTCGCCGCATCACGTCATTGTTGCTAGTTTTCTCGTTATAATTAAACTGCAAACACAACAAATGTATCCATAAGTGCAGCCGACACATCTGTATATGAATGCATATGTATACATCTATGGAATGCATTTCAGCATCCAACTCTTGGGTATATTCCTGGAAACTACTGCAATGCTACTCGTAGTGTAGCTGTCTGTCTGTATTCTCTTGTTTTTTGTGGCGCATTATTTCTCTGAAGATTGAGCACAAAAAGCGACGATTAAGCAAATCTCAGTCGCCCCGAAAACGGAAGCAGCCGATCCTGATAAGCAGCAGCAGCAGCAGTAGTGTGCTGACTGGGGCCAAGTCGGGCCTTGCGATAATCATAAATTTGTTGTTGGGCAATCCATATAGTGTTCGTGGGACGTTTGAATTGGGGCGACATCTTGAGCTGATTATAATGGATCTATGGAAATATGGTTTCATTTCTAACATTAAGGTCAGCTTTAATCAGGGGCAGTGGCAGTTCTACCTATGTATAGTACATAGAAACATCGTTTATATATGCCTCAAAAATACATACATATGTATTCCATTTAAAGATGACTTCATAAACGAAATTTTTTTTTGTTTAAAAGCTTTTTGCCATGTGTTCGACATGCTTTCCGCGGTCCATATGGAATTATGGACAATTTTCTTGAGGTTGCAGTTTATTGAGAATTGTTTAGCGGAAGTTTAGCAGATATATTCAACATTTAGAAGCAGATTTTTTTCGATTTTAACAGATCATGTGTAGGTACATTTATTCCTATTACAAATGTAGATCGATTTCTATAGCTTTACTTGAACTATCTTCAATCTATGTGAATCTATATCTATATTCATATACACTAAGAATAATTATCATCTTTTTTAATGGTCATCTTTCCGTAACTCCTCAAATTCAGACATTTCGAAATGTTCAGTTGGATTTCTCTTGGTTCTTTTTGGTTTAGTTTCATAGAAAACTTTTCCAATTTCCATTATTCAATAGCCGGTCCACCCCAATCTAAAAAAAGGCACACTCACTCCACTCCACTCCCTGTCTCTCCCATGAACACAATGTGTGTGCATTGTTTGCATTTGTGTTTTTGCACAGATCCATAAATTCACTTCCCTGATAGATGGACAGAGTTCTCGCCATCTCCATCTGCTTCTGCAACTGTACGAAAATGTACGCGTTTGAACTCTTGAACCCTGTGGCGTCTTCAATTGTCTTTGATGGGAAAAAAGGAGCCGCTAATGCCGATGCATCAGCGCTGCTTCCGACATGAGTTCAGGCATGTAAACCACCCCTTAAGGGTAGGGGTTGGTGACGGTTACAACCAAAGATCGTTACGTTCCTTGAGCGGTACAGTTACGTTTTGGCAGGCAGGGCAGAAGACAAACGCTTTTTAAAATGAAACTTTTCTTCACTCTTAAGATCCGCTAGAAGATGCGTTCCATCTGGCTATTGCTGGGATTGGCGCTGCTGGCCTTGTCGCAGGTCCAAGCCGCCGAAGAGGAGGATCTGGATCTCTCAGATCTGGACTTGTCCGACATGGATGAGAACGAAGAGGAGTTCCTGCGCCTGCTAGAGGAGAAGGCCAAGGTGGGATAATGACTGCAAACAGACTTCGCCACAATTGAAACTCAAACATTATGCGACTCGTTCACAGATCAAGGATGTGGAGCGTGAGAATGAGATTGCCAGCCAATTGGCCACCGTGCAGCATAATCTCCTCAATCCCGTCGTGGAGGTGGATCTGTGCGAGACCATGCCTTGCGGTGCCGGTCGCATCTGCCAGTTGACCAACGAGAAGCCCGAGTGCGTGTGCATTCCAGACTGTCCCGAGGAGGTGGACACGCGTCGTCTTGTCTGCACCAACACGAACGAGACCTGGCCCTCGGATTGTTCCGTCTATCAGCAGCGCTGCTGGTGTGACATCCAGCACGAAGGCTGCCGCAATCCGGACAACGCTCACATGCACATCGACTACTACGGCACCTGCCACGAGCCACGCACCTGCGACGGCGAGGATCTGAAGGACTTCCCGCGCCGCATGCGCGACTGGCTGTTCAACGTGATGCGCGATCTGGCCGAGCGCGACGAGCTCACCGAACACTACATGCAAATGGAGCTGGAGGCGGAGACAAACCACTCCCGTCGCTGGTCCAATGCTGCCGTTTGGAAGTGGTGCGATCTGGATGGCGACACCGATCGTTCCGTGTCCCGTCACGAGCTTTTCCCCATCCGTGCGCCGCTGGTCAGCCTCGAGCATTGCATTGCCCCGTTCCTGGAGAGCTGTGACTCGAACAGCGATCATCGCATCACACTGATCGAGTGGGGCGCCTGCCTGGAGCTGGATGCCGATGACCTCATGGAGCGGTGCGACGATGTCCAGAAGGCACAGCCGCATCTCATGGGCTAGCGCAACGACGCCCGCTGCTTATATCCGTTTAACAATCCTAATTTTTCAACACATTTCGTGCACAAAGTTTATTGCAACATTCAATAATATTTGTAAAATGTCTCTAATAAATTGTTGTTTGGGGAAATAACAGGATTTGAGTTTTTATTATAGTTTTTATTAAATTTATTCGTGTAATTACTCGGCGCTTATCCTTATCTATCCTTTAATTTCTGTTTCATCTGTTTTATTATCCTCCTTCGCTCATTGCATTTATTTTATCCTTTCACATTTTAATTTTGTTTTTGTTTGTTAAGATTATAAAATATAATGCGTGCGCGTATGTATTTTATGGATGTGTGTGTGGGGTTTGGGTGCTTGAGGGGTGTGTGTTGTGTTGTGCTGGGCTGGGCTGGGGAGACGGATGTCTATAATTACATATAATTTTGCATTATTTTGTGGCTAAATATGCGTTGCCATCGCACAGAAATTATTAAAATTACACATTTCATTTTCGTTTTTGTCGGTAAGTTTGGATCTCTCTCTTTCTCTCTGTCTCTCTCTACACGCTGTTTCTTCGGACTCTAATCTTAATTCTTCATATTTTTAAAAGTGGGTGTCAAAAGGGGGTGTGGCAGTTAGTAGGCCTGCGACAGGATCACATTGCCCTTTCGCTGTGGATCCTGGACGGTGTCCTCTTTCTTGCCGATCAGCGACTTGTGAATATGGGGAATGACACCGCCGCCAGCGATGGTTGCCTTGATCAGGCTGTCCAGCTCCTCGTCTCCGCGAATGGCGAGCTGTAAGTGGCGCGGTGTGATACGTTTCACTTTCAGATCTTTCGATGCGTTTCCTGCCAATTCCAGAACCTGAAATCCAATAGAGAAACAGAAAATCTCGAATTAGTCGGCTGTTAACATGCATGCAAAACCTGCAACAGCGCAGCCATCTGTTAAGCGTTTACATTGCATGTAAAACACCGATGCAGCGAGATAGTACCGCTATAGATGCTCTCAGTAAAAGAGAGGCGGGAAAAATCAAGAAATGCACTTACCTCAGCAGTCAAATATTCCAATATGGCAGCAGAATAAACGGCTGCGGTGGCGCCAACGCGTCCATGGGATGTAGTACGACTCTTCAGATGACGATGGATACGGCCAACGGGGAACTAAATACATGATATGCAAAAAAAGAAAAAAAAACCATAAATTAATTACTTGCTTGTTTATGTTTTGCTACCCTCAAAATAAACACACCCATACACACACACAGTCGGCAAAGCGCACCCTGTACGTGTGTGGTGGATTATGCTCAGCGAGGTGAAAACACAAAAAGGCGCCAAAATGTACAGCAGACAACAACAAATATATATATAATGGGAAATTACTCACCTGAAGACCAGCGCGCGCTGAGCGGGAAACTGCCTTCGCCTTTGCTTTTCCCGAATCCTTGCCTGCTTTACCTCCAGCCTGTCGAATGCGAGAACAAAACACACACACAATTAGTAAAACACACAGAACAAAAGCCGCCAGCAGCAAGAATACGCGTAGCGAACAAGATGGAGGCGGTCGCTGGCTGGCCAAAGTGTGAGGTTAAACACGATGAAATGGTCGCCGCCACCAAACACAACAATTCTGCGTATTTCGCGAAACTAAACAATTTGCGGGGAGAGCACGGGAAGATTTTCAATTTTCGCGCTACGTGGGCATCAATATTTGATTCGCTGGTTTCCCCGGCCGTTCGACGGGGCACGCGCAATAAAGTACAGAATGTCAACCGCCGCCACCGCCGCCGCTGGAGAAGCAACACGACAATTTTTGCAATAAATTACCATTTTATTTCAATCGATTTTTCGCTCTCGTGGGATAATGTGAATTGCTCAAAGGCACTTTGGTTACTTGCGCGTCTTGGAATGATTATTAAAACCGAATCGAAGCGTAAATGCTGTTGCCTTTTTTACTAGACGCTAGAGGTGTCAAACCATCGAGGGCACTATCGATAGTATCGATGTTTTGCTGCTAGCCGCTACTATCGATGGTTTTGAGACTATCATGATAGTATCGAGCTACAGTCGTTGCGCTTTTGATATGTTTGGATTGGCTGCTATAAAATACGAAGACAAATTTGTAAAAAAATCGACAGGTGGCATCTAATTTTTACAATGTACAAGTTCCTAAAAGGTTACAATGGTTTTTTAATAATTATTTCAGCCCGATACTATCACGATAGTATCGATTGTTTTTTCAAAACATTCGACGTTGATATTCCTCGATATTGATATTCCGTTTAATATTACCAGCTAGCTGGGACTCTCAGCCCTACACAAAAAATTTTATCCGATAGATACATAAATTTTCTACAAGATTGGCAAGTTTTCAGCAGTCTTTTTTATTGGTTTATTTACATATTAAGGTTCAAACGAAAGCAACATAAAACGAATTTGCCGTCGTTTTGTGGCGTTGCCAGACTCGTGCAATTCGTAGTTGCTGCGGGCTGCCATACCGTGATATTTTGTGGTATGAAATTCGTCAATTTTGATATTCAGTTTAATATTACTAGATAGTTGGCCCTCTCAGCCGTAAACAAATAATTTTATCCGATAGATACATAAATTTTGTTCAGGATTGGTTAGTTTTAGAACTCTTTTTCATTGGATTGTTCACATATTAAGGTTCAAACAAAAGCGGCCAAAGCATAAAACGTAAATGTTGACTAAATGTGACGTCACATGTTGCTGGTCAACCATGTTTCTTCTATGCGTATGTACTTTTGTATACCTTATTTCTTTTAATTGGTGTTAAATGTTTTGTTCCAAGCTCCATTGAAACATTATTTATGATTTTATCCTAGATTGACATGTTTTTTACCTCTTAATGTATATGTTTTGTGTTTTATAAATACATTTGTCCCGGTTCTGATACCTATTATTGGTAGTCGTGAGCTGAAAAACTTTGTTAAAATCTTTAGAACATAGACTGAGTAGTTTCTGTATTAATTGGAGCCTGAAATTACAAACAATACCTCAAGTCCATAATATCTATTTTCCCAAGGTATGCAGATTGTTGCTCATTCCGTGCCAAAGTTGCACAACAATGCTGCTAATTCATTTCCCCATGTTGCTGAAATTTTTCCCATACAAATCAAATGTATCATACGGGAACGCGTATGGAATGACGCAACAATGAATCTTTATTCCCGTAAGATACATTTGATTTTGTATGGGAAAAATTCCAGCAACATGCTGCCACACCACGAAAATGAGGGGAAAGTCTCCACAAAAACTCTCTATACTCCACTGAAAAGAAAGCACTCTCCACGAATTGAGATCAAATTTTGAAAACTCTCCACGAATTGAGAGCGAGTTTTGCAAACTCTCCACGAATTGAGAGCGAAAAATGTCAGTATTTTTGGTGCGCTAAATTGAGTTTGGCGGTCAATTTGAAATGTGTCTTAATATTTGGAAAAGAAACTTGATTTGTTTTGTCGAGTGACCTCAGAAACCGAGAACCAGTAACCAGTAAATAACAAAAAAAAAAAAATTTATAATTAATAATTTTTTTAGCCCGATACTATCATGATAGTATCGATTGTGTGACCGCGGGAGTATCGACCAAATATACCGTCTGACCCTCAGAAAGCTACCGAAAAATACCTTTTCACTTTTAAAAGCATACCGTAAATATACTGAGGAAAATAATATTCCTAAATTCTGATATTCGATTTGACATTACAAGCTTGTTAGAAATCTTACCACTGACACCATAATTCTATCCGATTGATGAATCCATTTTCTTCAAGATTGTTTACCTTTAAGGACTGAATTTGTTGAGTTGTTCATAAAATAGGGTTTCATTAAGTTTCAAGAATGAGCTCTAAAATACCTCAGAATTATACCGATAATATACCTTTTCATTTTAAAGATATACCGTAAATATACCGAGGAAAATCATATTCCTCAATTTTGATATTCGATCTAATATTACTAGCTAGCTCGAACTCTCATCACTGACCATATAATTTTATCCGATTGGTGAATCAATTCTCCACAAGATTGAGGTTCAGGTCTTCTTTTTAATGGACTTTTTAGAAAACTTATAACCAAAAACGGCCAAACGTAACTGATTATGGAAGAAACAACTTCTACTATGAGTATGACAGTTTAAATACCCTACATCCTGTATTTCTGTTAAAATTCAGTTTTTCAAGCTGCTTATTAACATTATTAATGCCATATACCTAGAATGACATGTTTTAGACCTAAAAAACCTGCGTATGGAAGTCTGAACACCCTATGTTCCATAATGTACCATAAATATGAAATTATAGATTGTAAAATTATTTTATATACGATAAATTTGTATACAATTTGAACTCAATATTTTACGTCAAACTAAACCAAAAAGTACATATACCTGGAACCGCAGTCGCTGGCGAAGTGTGACCACGGATTTATCGCACAGAATACCAACGTTTCGTAGTATTTAAAATATAATACTAGACGTGGATAACAAATGCCGATAACACTGCCGTTTGTGGCGGCATTTTGAGCAAAAACTTTGCATTTAATTAGATTCCTACACGCTACGCTAACAACAAACGCAGCGCACATAAAATGCCGCGCGCCGTGAAACCCAAAGCAGCTGCCGGCTCAGCGCCGGCCAGAAAGCCCAAGGGAAAACTGTATGCCATGCCGGAGAAGCTGGTGGAGGGCACCGTTCTGCAGGACCTGGCCAAGGGGCAGTGGCGCATTGGTCCGTCGATTGGAATTGGTGGCTTTGGCGAGATATATGCGGCCGCCCGCGTGGGGGAGAAGAACTACGACGCGGTTGTGAAATGCGTGAGTACAGTAGCCAGCAATGAGCCGCCATGGAGCCTTTGTTCTCGAACCCTACCCTTTTTGGTTGCAGGAGCCTCATGGCAATGGGCCGCTGTTCGTGGAGATGCATTTCTACTTGCGCAATGCCAAGCAGGACGACATTAAGCAGTTCAAGCAGCAGCGCGGCCTCAAGACCCTGGGCATGCCGTACATCCTGGCCAGCGGGTCGGCGGATGTCAACGGCCAGAAGCATCGTTTCATTGTGATGCCGCGCTACGGCAACGATATATCCAAGTTCTTGAAGGAGAACGACAAGCGACTGCCGGAGGGAACTGTCTATCGCCTGGCCCTCCAGATGCTGGATGTCTACCAGTTCATGCACAGCACTGGCTATGTTCATGCAGATCTCAAGGCGGCAAATATCCTGCTAGGAATGGGCAAGGCTGGTGCGGCCCAGGCCTACTTGGTGGACTTTGGCCTGGCCTCGCACTTCATCACCGGTGACTTTAAGCCGGATCCCAAGAAAATGCACAACGGCACCATCGAGTACACATCGCGAGACGCCCATTTGGGTGTGCCCACCAGGCGAGCGGACCTCGAGATTCTTGGCTACAACATCATCGAATGGCTGGGCGTGGAACTGCCCTGGGTCAAACAGAAACTGTTGGCGGTGCCACTGAAAGTACAGAAGGCCAAAGAGGCCTTCATGGAGGATGTCGGTGGGGCACTAAAGGCTCTATTCCCCAAGGGAGTGCCCGTTCCCGTGGGGGACTACATGAAGTATGTTGCCAAGCTCAAGCACAACGAGGAGCCAGACTATGACAAGTGCCGCAACTGGTTCACGGCGGCGCTCAAGCTAATGAAGATCCCAAACACCGGCGACTTGGACTTTAAGCTCAAGCCACAGAGCAGCAGCAACAACAACCACAGTCCACCAGGCACCAGCAAGGCTGGAGCAACAACAGCCAAGAGGGCCAAGAAGGTGGCCTCCCCTGACATCATTTCCGCCAGCGAGGAAGAGGAGGAATCTCCACGCAAGAGGCCACAGGTAAAGGCTGCGGCAGCGCCTCGCAGGAACGCCAAAGTCACGCCGACCATCTCGCCCAGGAAACGAAATGCAGCTACCTCGCCAGCAGAGACCTCACAGAAGCGAGTGAAGACGGAGCCGAATGATACGCCCAAGGCACGAGCCACTCCCAGAGCAGCAGCAAGCCCCAGAGCTCGAGCCACTCCCAGAGCAGCAGCAAGTCCCAGGGCTCGAGCCTCTCCCAGATCTGCTGCAAGTCCTAAAGCCCGGACGCCAAGCGCAGCCAGTGCCAAGATAAATTTCAGTCCAGCGATCTCTCTGCGCGGCAAGAACGGCAAGACTGTCGTCAACGATGACCTGACGCCCAAGCCGCGCTCCAACAAGACATACGAATTCAACTTTGAGCTGGACGTCAGCATGGACGCCAATGTCATTGTGAATGTGAAGCGTAAGAAGAAGGCCAAGGAGCAGCCCGTTGGCGAGGGAGATGTGAGAACACCTTCATCCCGGAGTCTGGCCACCTCCAAGGAGGACACGCCCGTGACCAGAGTGAATCTGCGCAAGGTGAATGGAGAGGGTGCCTCCGATTCCCCGCTAGCCGCCTCCAGCAGCAGCAGCAACAGTCGCAGTCCCAGGACGCCAGCAGTAACTGTGCGAAAGTACAGGCGCTAGAGAGTCGTCGCCCCCTCATTGTTTTTTGAATATTTACGTAGAAACTAAAGCTTGAATAAAAGTGCGCAGATGCATTAAATATTTTCCAGGAATTCGTATTTAAATTTGTTACTTATGTTATCTATGTGTTAGCCTAAAACTAAATGAATGTAAATCATGGACTATTGAATGGGTGTGGGGAGAACCATTCAATAGTAGTAGTTTCGTCATTGCTTTGATCTTCGCTTGCTGCCGCTGCCGCTGTTGCTTTCGTGGTGCTTGGAGGAGGAGCTGCTCTTGCTCGAACTGGATTTCGTGTTCGAGCTGCTCCGTCGCGATGTAGATGAGGAGGGCCCACTGGCATGCTTCTCCACACCACTAATGGCCGTCAATGAGGGGGCCACCACCGACTTGCTGGCTCGCTCCTCTTTGTGCGACTTGGAGGAGGACGATGATGATGACTTGTGACCTTGTTTGCTGCTACTGCTGCTGCTCGCATTGGTCGAGCTGCTCGGCTCTGGCCTGTAGAAGGGCGAGGACGAGTTGGAGGATGTCGAGGATCGTGAGGATGCGCCCGATGCGGTTTTGCTCGTCTTGCTGGCTGCCAGCGGCATTGGATCGTCGGCTATGAAGATTGATGGCGGGAGTGACGTCGCCGCCGCCGCAGGGACCACTGACCGACTGCTTGTGGGCTTGTTACAACAGGTGTCGCATTGCCAGGTCTGCTCCTGATCGTCGGCCGCCTCCTCCTTGGTGATGGGCGGCTTGTGGCACTCCTGATGGTACATCGCCCCGCATTTGGAGCACTCAACCAACCGGTTGGTGGCCGTGAACATCATCTCGCCGCAGACACAGCAATTCAAATCGCCAAAATCGCCAGTGTCGCCCGTGTTGACAATGCCCGCCGCACTGAGGCACTCGTCCGAATCGATAATGGTGTCCACGGAGTCCGAGGGATCCTTGTCCGGCGAATTGGTCAGATTGATGATCTCATCCGTGTTGATGGGCTGCGGCGGGGTGGGCGCACGACCGGGAAAACTCATCTCATCGTCCATCATGCGCTGGGTCATGTTGTGCGTTATGCTCTTCTCCGGGCCGTACCTCGCCCTCAGTGCCTCGTCCAGCAACAGGCGAAGTTCGGCTGCAGACGTCGAATTGCTGGAGTGCAGCAGCTTGATGGCTTTCTTCAGCACGGGATCGACTTCCTGGGGCACCGCAACCGCTGCGGCTATATTGGCAGCCATTGCAAGTGATTACTTGAATCTTCTTAAATGAAATTGTAATAATTCAAGAACTTCTTTGCAAGCGCAACAGCTGTTTTGCGACCAGGGTTGTCGTCTCTGCTCCGGGTAGTGCTTCTTCTTCCAGGCCGTTGCTATTCACCCACACACACACACACCTCGCACACAAAATAACAGTTCGATTCGGCGCTAGCTCTGCTGCCAATATAATTAAGCCGAAAATAACCAGGTATTTCGCCCTAATAGTGTGCCATTGTTTGCCATATACGCTCCGTGTGAATCGAGTCGTGCTATTGCGTCTCAGTGCAGCCCCCTGCTCTGGAACAGCCCGAACATCCAAATTTCTCTCTCGAGTCCGTTGAAAAATCGAAGAGAGGCGCAACAATAACACTCGCTCGCTCGCGGGCGGCTCTCTGTCAAAATAAACAGTTAACAAGACGAACGTAGTGATAAGGCCGGGCTGATCAAATTGCTTTGTGTGCAAAAGTGTTAATCTTTTCGGGGCATTACTAATAGATCCCAGTGCAGAAACAACGACCTGCTGTAGAGCTCCTCAAACACCTTCACTAACTTCTGTAATTTCGTTTAGGCCCTGGCAGTTGACGAAAATGTACTGTGACGCGGCTCAGGATACGCCGAAGCGGCGGGTGAGTGATATTTACATGACTACTAGCTGGTGACACATCTGCAGGGTAATTTTCGCTATCTCTTACAGATAAAACTGCGTTGCGGCTTTCCATCTATAGTTGTGGTTTCCCTTCTCCTACTCTTCCAATGCGGTGGTTCTACGGCCAATCAGCTGGTATGTTTGGTTATTAGCTTGATGTTGGCTTGGTGCGCTGCATTTGTTTGCCCTGGTTTGTGGCGCCCCAAACAGCTGTGATTGCGCACTTGTTGCCCCTTTTTTTATAGCCAAGAAACAAGACATGGGGAGGGAGGGCCAGTGCATAGCTTTATCTCTCTGTGCCAGTCTTTGTTTCTTGGCCAATTAGGAATCAATCAAGTCGCAATAGACGCGATAACAGCTCCAACTGTTGCTGGAACTGTTATAACTCTGTTAATGGCTAAAATAACATTTGCACATTTCTTGCAGAACTTTTCCACCACAGAATGCAAGCTCAAGGAACCCATTTATGGCAATACATTCGACTTTAGTGCCCTCCACTCGGACCTCGCACATGTGGTGACGAGTGCAGGCAATGGGGATGACAAATTCGAGTTTAATGTGTGCGGCAATCTCACCAAGACGTGCAATGGGGAGAGCAATGTGGCGGCCTGTCTCAGGAAACAGGACAAGGAGTATGTGCTGGGTAAGCCGGTGCAATGAGTTATCTTAAATGAATCCAAATTAAATCCAATCTTTCCCCAGGACGCCAACACGAGCTGCACTACTCGAAAGGCAAAATGTACTTTGAATATTTAAGCGGTGCCAAATGCGAAAATGGTACTGCAGAAAAACCAAACTATCAGCTTCATGTGATCCTCAGCTGCGATTACACCTTGGATGCCAGTCCCCTGCATATTACGCGATATGTAAGGAAATTATAGAGATTATTGGAGTCAAGTGTTTACTGATTTTCATGTTTTCCCTCGTAGGCCAACGATGCCTGTTCCTTTTACATTACCTACGAGACGCCGCTGGCCTGCCTGCCCATTCCGGATGCGGTGCAGTCGAACAGCTGCAGCGTGAGGGACACCAAAACGGATGGAACATTCGATCTGCTGCCCTTGAGCGACACCAATTATAGGACCAGCAATCGGCAGGGCTCTGTGTTTCTGATTAACGTGTGCAAGCCCGTGCTTTATGGCGAGAATAGCATGTGTCCGCCTGGCAGCAGCATATGCCTCTACTCTCTCCAAGCCACAAATAACTCAGAGCGGTGGGTGCTCTTTGCTAATTAAATAATGACTATCCAAAGCTAAAGCTATGCACTTTTTGTAGATTCATCAATTACGGCACTGTGCAGTCGCATCCAGTTGTGGAGAACGGACAGCTCCTGCTGCGGCACGAGTCGCCGACGCCGTGTGCTCGGAATTCCAGCGTGAATTACACCAGTGTCATTTACTTTAGCTGTGACAAGACCGTAATGGTGTGTGCCCACAACATTTTGCAACGTCTTGGAGAAGAACTAACCATTGTTTTTTCCTTGCAGAATGCGCATCCTGAGTTCGCGGGCCTCGGAGCGGATGAGTGCACGTACCAGTTCAATTTTGTAACGCCGCTGGCCTGCAATGATCTCAAGCCCTGCACGGCACTTACCTCCACAAATGAGCTGTGAGTGCGCCGAATTATAATCATAATGTTCAAACCTAACAAACCACTCTCGTTCTGCAATAGCTTGGACCTCAGTTCGCTTAGTAGCCAGCCAGCGCATCACTTGTCCAAAGATGGTCGCAACTACACGGTAGCCGTGTGCGCCAGTGCAGGAAATCCCTGCCAGGAAAATGGCGGTAAGTCGGCAATTTGTGTTCTGAAATATTAATTAAGGTGCAAAGTGCAACCGAAAATGGGTTCAGCCTGAAAGAATTGTTTCTAAAATGTTTTCCAGAGTTTAATTTAGGAAAAAAAAGCTGGCTTTAAAACGCTTACAACACTTTCGGATTAATGACCTTTTATGGCCCTTTCGCTCGAGTAGCCTTTGGAAGCAATAATCGTCTTGGCAACCTATCCCACATACGGTGAAAAAAAAAAGACAGAGATGGGTTCGGTAGCGGTGGTCAAGTGTTGGCCATTTTTATCCGTTTTGCATTAGTCCGCTCATGCGTGGATATATGTGTGTATGTGGGGGGCCCTTAGCGGACAAACATACATATCTATATAGTTATATGTTTTGCTGTTGTGTAAGTGAGCTGGGGGGACGGATATGATGATGATGATATTTAGGTTTGTGTTTTTTTTTCATGTATTATATATTCATATATTTACATAATTTACGGTGCTGCGTGTGCGTGTGGCTCCACCTACCCAGTCCGTTCCGTTTATGAATCCCACTGGAAATTTTATTTATATTGCGTATTTTTCAATAATACGTAAAGTATTTAAGTGGCTGTTTATGTGCGCTATTTAAAGTGGACTCTGGTGCCCTTAAAGTTGTCAATCCCTTGATCAAATATGAATATTTTCCTTGGTTCTTTCATATCAATCCTTTTTCCAACTATTGGATTTACTGTACTGCCCCACGTATCACAATCTCTTCCCTATTTGTTCCCGTATTTTATTATCCTTTGTATAACCTGCAGCCACATGAGGGCCATACGTTGCCGCCGTATTGCAAATAACAACTTTTCGTGATGTGGCATGGCCTGTTGGCATGGCAAACGCGGCAAGCGCACGTCACGCAGCGTCTGTGTGTTGTCCTGCATTCATAGTTGACTGCAGACGCATATCCTTTTTGGTTCGCTGGCTCTCTGTACTGCGGAGTGGGGCGCGCAGCTCGCAGCTCGCAACTCGCGAGTTAGAGGCACACAGCAGATACCAGTGGCCCACTGCTGGGACCTTCGCCTAAACAAATAAATAAGTGTGCGCTCCCTTTTGCCAAAACTGATGTCCAGGAGGCCATGGCTGCATACATGAAATTTTCATTTGTTAGGCAAATAACAGACACTCACACACACACACAAATGTGGGGCTCGGTACATGGCAGCAGAACGTTTGTAAACACACACACAGAGATACGTGGATACGCGTTGCAAGTTCGCTGTTTGGCGCCCATCTGACACGCGCAGACAGCATATTGCGCTGCCTCCTGCCACTCCTCTCCATTTAAATCTCCTGGTTTACATAGTGGAATTCAATATTTGAACGCATTTGGCAGTGGCAGTGGCCCTGGCCCTGGCTCTCTGCCTGCAACTGAATTATGGCCACGCCCCCCGCCCCCCGCAACCCAAAAGCTTCCTACCTAATCCTGCCACATAGAATCCACGCCTCCAACTGCTGTTAATTGCTTATGCAGCATGCGTTGCACTGTCATTTTGTGTAATTTTCCTACATTCTACATTTCTATTTATTTATGGCGCGCAACCCCAGCAAATTGTATTTTTGAGTGGACCTGCGTTCGCTCTGGGGTTATGCGTGCGCTGCTGTTGCAACACGTAACCCGATGCTACAGATATCACGTTGACATGACACATGTGCAGCAGCCCCAGTCCCAACCCCAGCCCGTCCTGTCAATATCAATTTTACGCTTTTCCATCTGTCTATATGTCTAAGTAAATTTGCAATTATTTGCCATCATATCTAGGACTTTGTGGTGGTTGGATTGCCGTCTAAATAACGGCAGTAATTATGTTTGTTTACGAAAGGTGCTTGTATTTATTGTCTAACATTGAAATTAAATTTCTTAAAAAGAAAACTTAAAAGTGGACATCGATCGTATAGCGATTCAAGCGTTTTGAGCGTAGCTTTCTGAATGCTGCCAACTGTTGGATGTTGGCCAGGTTCAAAACACGTAGGAACGTGCCCTGGCCACCCTCCGCGGGTGTAAGACGGCATAGATCCTTCTCCCAATAAGCAGCATCGGCGGCCAGTCGCTTTTGCTCCGCTGTTAAATTATCCTTGGGCTTCTTGACGATCGTAGGTCGTCGGACTCTCTTCACGGGCTCCACGCTCAGATATTTTTCTTTGGTGCTCAATTTCGATAAATCTTCTGGTCGCGTATACGTTGTATAACGTCGCTTATATGCCCTTTTTGGTGGTTCTACTGTGGTCGACTTTTTCACCACGAATTGATCCCCGACTGATTTGTTTTCGCCATCGTTTTTGGTGGGTCTAGTCAACTGGCTGCTCCATTGAGGAAGAGCTGACAGATGGGCTTTTTGCAGCCCTAAGGGCTTCGCGGTTTCCGTCTGCGAAAAAGATGGTTTGCTGTTACCGTTCCATTGAGCGAAAGTCGAGCGCCATACGTTCTCCGTGGAGGATGGCGGTCTCTGGCTTCTTAAAATCTGTGGATTGCGGTTGTTGGTTGCTTAGCTAACGATTTTTTATCATTTAATAGGAACAGCATGCACTTACCCGCTTTGTTCAGATGCGGTGGCAGCGCTGGGGACGAAACATTCCGCTGCTGGTCCGGCGGCAGTTTAGGATGTGGCGGCGGCGCCCACATCGGGAAAATGTTATTTTTTTTAGAACTGGTTGTGAAAAAATATTTTGGGGAAAAAACAGTTTAGGTTTGTTTTTAGTAAACAGAAATCGGTTATATAGTGCACCATAAACTCGATGAAAAAGTTCTGAAATATGTTCCGAATTTTTGTATGAAAACGCTGTGCAGTTGCCGCTGTAGCAGGCGCAAAAAATGAAATGAAATAAGACGTCACTTGGTATCGAAGTTGTCAATTGCAACACTGTTGCTGTTTCTAAGCCGTGGTGATGTTCATCGCGTAAGCTATCGAAACGTGCGTCAATGAGTATTTTTATATTTATTCCACAGCATTTCAAGCTTAGGCAGTGAGAACGCATATTAAAACGCAAATTGGTATTGAAGTGTAGTAGAATACTTGCCATATGGTAAGCATTAATATGACGTGCATATGGGCAGTTCCCATCTGGCGATACGTTACATTCGTACGACAAAATGTTAAAAAATATAGTCAAAATGTCAAATCAATGCGAATTTGGTAGGTCTACAGTATACAAATTTTTGGTGAAATATGTAGTGTTAATTTTCAATGTTATTTAATGTAAAAAACTTCTGTTATTTTTATATGTATAAGTACACGGAGGCATCTGACGAACGTTACTGGCGAGACGTTACCAAATTTCGCGATAATAAAGGCCTAAAAATATACTATTAGCCGAGGTTGGACAAATGTTCTGATCATTTTTGTAGGTAGTTCACTATGAAAGACTTCAAGGAGAAACTTTTATCAAGAATCATCGTTTTCCTAGGAGATAATAGTCAAAGAACACATGTCTATAAAAATACCAAAAAATACCAAAAACGTGAACTTTTGCTTATTTCTCTGAAGGCGAATAGGACAGTATTTACAGGTTAAAATACGACGGATTTTCAAAATTGTTTTACCACTATGACACACCTCTCGACTAGCCCTATAACTGGTGCTAAGGTCCTTTTTTGGGCAACTATTCGCTTTCCAGATTTTAAAACCGTTTTCGCACGGGATATGACGCACGAGACAAAAACTCCTAGGTTAATAATAAATAATTAAATATAAAAAATACCAAAATATACCGAACAAGTGAACTTTAGCTTATTTGAATAGGTTTTTACATTAAAGTGAATGAAATTATATGTCAATTGGGTAAATTATCGCAACAGAATTAATTTAATTTAATTGGTCTGGGTGGACCTCGTCAGGGAAAGCCCATATATAGTATATTGTATTACATATTAAGTGCTTATGGTGCTATGACATTCGACTTTGCTAACTGACTAGCTGGAAATATAGAGACGGCCCTTTGGGAAATGACTGCAGTCAGAGCGAGAGAAGTATATGCGTCCAGCTGGCTTTTCAGTTAAGCTGGGAGCAGCGTTGCGGATACAATTTTGAGTATTTTAATATTTAAACGCTATTCCACTGCACTTCAAGCTTAGGCAGTGAGAACGCATATCAAAATTGATGTTGAGGTGTAGTGAAAGACTTGCATTATGGCAAGCATCGTGCATATATACATACATATATTGTATTACATATTATGTACTTGTTGACAATATCTATCTGTCTGTGTCTTTCTGTCTGTTTTCGTGTCGCCACTCAACGACAACGGGATTCGCACAACACGCAGTTAAAGATGCTATCTCGCTCTCTCACACAAATGAACATTCACATTGTAAATGTGTTGGTAAATTTTGGTTTCAATGTTTTGTGCTGTTGTTTTTGCAAGCGAAAGCTCGAGTAAAAGAGAGACTGATAAATATGCTCAAGCAAGCCATACTCGGGTATGAAAGGTAACAAGTAAAATACACACGTTGTTTTTTTTGCGAATTACTCGTTCAGTTCTGCTTTACGTAGATCAAATCCAAATTGGGTTCAAACCCTCAGTAAGTAAATCAATGTAAATCAATTACTAAAATTATGACTGATTACAACCGAAGGAGAAGTTTCAATGATCTGCAATGTTTTACTTGAAAATTTTCCATAGCCGGAGACCTAAAGACGCAATGGTTTTTATTTATGTAAATTTTTTTGCCACTCTGTAAGAAAGGGTCACAAATTTGGTGTCTGCCCCCTAAGGGCTGAACACCCTTGCTTCAATGAGCTTCTGACTTCTAATCAAAGCTACCAAGCCCTTAAGCAGCAGTTTATCAAAATTCTACAACGACAACCATCTCAAGAAGCAAGTTTTTGTTGCTTTTCCAAATATGCAACGCTTCAATGTTTATAATTTTCAATTTGCTGTTTTTATGCTTCGTTTTGTTGGTGTTGTGTATTTTACTCCTTTTTATGTGCTGCCCTCGGTTTCCTTTGGTTATTTGTGTTACTGCTACTGCTGCTGCTGCTTCTGTCGGGGCAGATTCAATTTGCAGCTACACCATATTCTGACCAGAACAAGAACCCCCTCCTGATGCTACTGCTGCTGCTGCTGGCCCCCCCCGACCGTAACTAACACTTGCCGGCAGCTGTTTGGCCAGGATGCGCCATCCAAGTGGCATCAGGCAGCTACTAAATCGTTTTATATTTGTTTTTCTCGCTTTTCTCTTCGGTTTTTTTGTTGCCGACGGCTGCCTGGTAGCCGGCTGCTGGTCAATGTTTTTAGGGATTCCTGGGACCTTTCTTGACGGTTGTTTTCCTATTGAAATTCAATTTGCTTGAGTTTTCTTAGCCATTTTGGCAATGGTCTCTGCCTCTGCCAAAGCACCGTGCCCTGGGGCCCGCATATGCGCCATGAAATATATTTTGCCGAAAACATTTCCACTCCGCCCTATCAATGCCACAAAGTCAACTCCTTCAAGGGTCCCCCACCCCGCTTATAAAATACAATATATATGTATATATATTTAACCCTTTCACGCAAGTCCTCCGAGGGGCCTCGTTTATATTTAACCCTTTCATGCAATGTGAGGAATTTAAACAATGTTTTTGTTTCTTGGCCACAATGCGAGCTTTGGTGGGCCCAAGGTCCCCCCCAAAGTCTTATTCGAACGGAGATTGCATTGGGATTGAATTAATGCCAGTGTGTGGGTGTCCGGGTCTGTGTGGGTGTGTGTGATCAGGTCAATCTCGTTGGATAATCCTGACAAGGAAATGATTTTCACCTTAGGTAGACACTGGTTGAAGTAGTATACACTGAGAAAAAATGGTTTAAGATCTGGAATATACTTAAAAAACAGTAAAAAAGCAGTGCTAAAAGGGAACAGTGCATAACCATTTATAATCAAGTATAATTTTTTGTTTTTGAGAATATTTTAATGAAAGGAAACAGAGAAATAAGAAATAATTATTCCAAAATTGATTTCTAGTTAGTATTTCTCTGAGTGCTGAAAGCATATACATATAAATCTTCAGAGGATGTCTTCTGTTGCTGCTTGTGGTCGGCTAAATTCAATTGCTAGCTTCCGCAGGACACTCACAGGAGCGGTCCTGCTGCTGCCATAGATGTTTACACTGGGACATCCCAGACATTGACATACAGACAGTACAGACCGTACAGACCATACAGAGCGTACATATATTGTCACGCAGTTACCCACAATGTCATTTATCAATTTAGTTGACAGTCGATTTCTTTTTCTATTTGAAAAAAAGCCACCACCTCAATTGGTCTTTTTCTTCTCTTCTTCAACATTTTGATTTTGATTTTCTTGTTGTTGGTCATGGCTCTTGATCCTAGAGAGTCATGTGGGGGGTGTGGGGGTAGTGTCCACCAATGTCTGCAATAAACTATAAAAATGTTCCACATTGCAGATGGACATGGGTATGTATAGAGGTAGGAGATACATACATACATACATACATATATACCAAGAGAGGGATGAATGAAATTACCATACTCTAGTCAAATCACAATCACAATGCTGTCTGCTCGAGGGCTCTCAATCAAAATCTGGCAAAATGTGAGTGACGTTGCTCAAAATTGTTCTGTTCGGGTTTCGTAAGTGAAATGGAAGATTGAAAAGGGAAAAAGCACCAAGCAGGGAGGGACGACGACTGTTTATTCCATAAAATTGAGTTGTGGCATTGTTCTTTTTTTTTTTTAGCCCCATTGAAATAACTTTAAGCCATGTTCCAGCAATTAAATCGGCAGAGTAGAATGCTCCTCTTGTGGATGGTCTCTAAAAGCTTTTGCTTCTGCCTCTGCCCCTTTGCTTAGCGGGAGGCCCCTGGCAAAAAACAGTCTCCCAAGCGGACAAACAACGAGAACAATTAATTTCGCCTTTGATGGATACTGATGGACCATGGCAGCCTGCTGCTGTGTCTCCTTCTGCATCCTAAGCCTGGTTCTGTTCAAAATTCTGCCGAATTCTTAGCAGAGGCTTTTGGGCCTGGCCAGGAATCGCGCTAGTCTCTGTTTGCCTTTGCAAACTTTGGCTTTGGCTGTTGTTTTTTTCCCTTTTGATTTTTTGACGCTTTGTGTCACGGCCGAACACTCAATTGATGCGTGCACACTTCTTGTCCACTTGCAGGCGCCTGCTACGAACAGAATTCGGAGACCATCAGCCTGGGCAACGTCAATTCGCATCTGCGCTTCAATCAGAGCGGCTCGCTCTATTTGCTCTACGAGAATGGCGCCAAATGTCCAACTGGATCGGGCACTACGTCGCTCTGGTCGACTAAAATCGAATTTGTCTGTGCGAACAATGCCACAAAGGACAATGGCACCGCCGGCGGTGGAAACGGCAATGCTCTGCAAATAATTGAGGACTCCAATTGTCAGCTGTTGATCCAATATCAGACACCGTACGCCTGCCAGGAGCAGATTAAATGCAAGACCACCATCTATGTGGACCACACCACCGACGGCGTTGGAAGCAGCGGGGACGAGCTGATCGACTTGACGCCCTTGATTAGCGCCAGCGACAACTACGAGGCACGGGTGGACCTGCCGGCCAGCATGGAGCACCTGGTGCCCAAAACGACAAAGGTGAGTTCCCGAGGTTCTGCAGTGTCGTTTCCCTGATTTCCCCCATGTCCTGCATTGTACCTGGAGTGTAATTTGCTGGCTTTTGTCTTTGCCAAGCATTTACGAGTACTCGTACTTTGAGTCTCCCCATCCCCATCCCCCACTCCAATTCCATTCCAAGCACTTCAATTCTCCATCTCTAACTCTCTGTCCTGCTGTCTTTGCAGTTCTTTTTGAATGTGTGCCGCCCATTAGTGCCGAAATACCAATTAGGCTGTGCCGGCGGCTCTGGTGCCTGCATGGCCAAAGTGGCGGCCTCCGGTGCCCCCGAGGAGGAGCATGTAAGTACCACAAAAGGCTAACACAAAGCGACGATGTTGGCCACGTAAAAGAATGAAAGAACGAGTGAAAGAAAGCCGCTTATGTGCTTAAAACTCTTTGCCCAGCCATGCATTTACGTATCCGATGTATACCCTGGGGATCGGTCGTAAATTGCACCACCTTTTGGATCGAAAATGGAGCCGAGCCTCGTAAACGCCTCAATGTAATGGCGTTGGTCGTTTGGTCAAATGCTCCGCAAAATTGTGGCGCCATTCATGCATTAAATATGCAGCAATCTAATTGCTAAGCTTTGCTCCCCCACACCTCCCCAGACCCTACCAAAAAAGAAGCCCAAACCTCGGCTCTGCCTGCCCTTATCCGCAATTCCCCAGTGGAGTGACCACTGGATTTGCTTGCTTCATTAAGAGGAACAGGGACTCCGGACTGTCTGCCGTTGACAGCAGCCAAAAGTTGTTTAATGCCAAAAATCCCACTCTTGGCTCTCGGCTCTCGGCTGCCGGCTCTCGCATCGCTGGCCACATGGCTAGTGTTCCAACTGTCCAACTGTCGGGCCGACTGGTGTGATGGGTACTTGGGAATGGGATGGGATGGTATGGGGTCCTAGGGTTCCTTCTGTGCTTAAATACTTAAGCCCACAAAAGTATGCTATGAAATTTGCTTGAAATGAGATTTCTACCCAGGCCGCAAAATGGTCAGCAATCGGTGTTATCCCTAATTCCCAGGCCCTGCCCTGAATCTTTGCAAATGAATGAGATAATTGCTGGGGATTTGCAGGCTCCCCCCCACTCAATAATTCATACAGACACGTTAAGACCTCTGACACACCTATGCCATGCATACATACACACATACACGTACGGATTATAATGTTGAAAAGAATCCCACTGCCACTTAACCCTCGGGGTCTGAAGTCTGGTTTTGGCTGGCTTTTGATGCGAAAGTTGGAATGAATTATAATGTTCCATTTCCCCCCATTTCCCACTCCCCCGCCCCCACATGCCACTGCAATGGCCACAATAATTGCATGCGACAATGGATGCATGCCACTAGGTGGAGGCAATCTTTCTAGCTCACTTGCCATATGCCGGTGCTGGCCCGACCTCGCTTTCCATTCACCATTCTAGCTGCTGCCTCCACGTAGCACCATAACACACACACACACACACACACACACACAGCGCTCACACCTTCCGGTCTGAACTTTTATCACAAGCTGCACAAATTTCCCGGGAGCAAAAACATTGTTCAAGTTGCTAAAAAATAAGCACGTACGCGTTGCAAATGGCAATGCGCGCTTGAGTTGGGAGCAATACACTGCGCGAAAATGCTGACTAAATTATAGATTATGAATTTTTATTTATTTCATTTTTTAGATAAAGAACTAACTCTAAAGAAGATCTGAAATATGTACTTATATCTACTTTTTCTCCCAGTGTTTCTTGGTAATGGTGAGAGTTAAGTGGGTCTGTGGTTAGGGTCTGGGGCTCGGCAGCACGCGAGTGAAATATTTCAGCATAACGTAAGGTCAGTGCAACGTAACATCGCGCTACGTAACGAGACGGAACGGACGGATTTGGAAAAATGTGCCTGTAAAGGCGGGGGTTTGGGAACTGCTCCAGTGGGAGAAGAGTGGTGCAAAAATATCTGTAAAAACAGCTTTTAGCGGCCATGCGGCCACCCATGTGTGTATTTATGCGAATGTCTATGGGTGTGTGTGGGTGGGTGGGGCGAAGGTTCACCGGCGACGTGCTCTGTAAAGCATTTCCGTTAGATCAGGGGATGTCTGGATGGATGAGTGGTCGGATGGGTGGTGCCCCAGGGCGGGGGTGGTGCGATGAATGGTTCCTCTGTGGCTATGGGAAGCAGGCTTTAAGTGCCATCGGCTTTGTTTGCATGCCGCTGGCCTAGAAATATACTCGTAACGCAGTCATGGTAAATATATTTTTATAAAATTTCTATTGCTTTATTTTTGTATTTTTCGTAGTCCCTTGCTCTGGCTCTCCCACCTCCCCCCCTCACCGCGGTTGACATTTTGCGCCACGTTTTGCATTTTGAAAATGCTCCGTTTTCAGAGCATTTCGTGTGCGGAAACGGAAATGTGCTGCTAGCTGCTGACGCGCACTTGAACCGTCCCCCGAAAACCGCCCTGCTCAACCCTCACTCAACCCCTGGAGCTGATTGCTTGGCATCCCTCTGACTCGCTCTTCTGGCTGCCTGCCACGCCCACTCATTGACAGTTGTCGAACGTTGTCGCCTCCATTGGCATCCATTCCTCCTGGCAGTGCACTCGCCCCTCCCCTGTTGCTGACAAACCATACTCTGTGCTTGCCTTTATCGCATGCACATATTTTAATGTGCTGCCATTGCATATCCCCAGGGCTTTGGCTGGTACAGTGGTAACCCCAGTAAACGGAAGGGAGATTCAGCCAGGGATACAGCCGTTTAATGCTAAAGAGCATAGCTAAAATCGTGTGTAAAGTATCTAGGAATCGGGACTTGGAATCAGCTAAAATATTTATTAGAACCTTTATATGGATAAAAGTAGATTGAAATCGAATTGTTGCTCTAATTTTATGGAATTTCCGGGCTATTTTAAAATATATTCCTGTATTCCTTACGAAACTATACAACAACTTGACTTCAAGTAGCGTAGAATCCCTTTGAGATTCCCCTTAAATTGTCTTTCCACTGTAGACATTTGTCGTCTTACGCGCTTGACTTGGAGGATGCTCCCGGATCCGTGTTTGGCCCGACACGTTTGATTTTTTCCTTGGATTGCCAGTCGCATCGCATCGATGTGAAGTTGGGAGTCTGGAGTCGTAGCTGGAATCGAAGTCTATTCATTGTGCATTCAGCGACTCCATTGTCAACTTGGTTGCAGCATTTGACTTGTGCCAGTGCAAATTTGGCAACGGCCATGTGACTGGCATGGCAATCCTGCCTCATCCCCTGCTCAGGGTCCTACGGCTGCACACATTTGCATTTTGCACTTCCGACAATAACCAGAAAATCATCAAATTGGTTGCCATTCTGGGTATTCTTGGGTCGGTGGTCGGCTGGGTTCTTCACTCCCATCAAATGGCATTAATAATGAAATTGATCAAATTGTTGGGCAAACAGCTGAATTCCTTGGGACATGAACGAGCGTTCCACCACCCCACCCCCCCCCCCGAGCTGACATTGTGATGCTGGGCCATGGTTCCGGCTACTGCCATTGTGCCCCTCTTATTATCCATCCCAGTGCTCGTCCTGCGGCCTGTGTGTCATCCCTTCATGCGGCTCATTGTTGTGCTGTTGGCTCTTTCCATTCCTATTATTGTTGTAGCTCCAAGAGGTATTCTGGCTGGAATCTCAGCCCTCAAACGCTGAACCTGCACAAATCTTTATTGCTTTTGAACTTAAGCAGCTCCTTGTCCAGCTCCCTCTTACAAATTCGATGGGTATGGAGTATATTTCATTCTAATAGAGCTTCTGGAAGCTGGACTTTATTTCACTCAAACAATGGTGATGGCAGAGGCAGACCAAGGACTCGGCAGGGCACAGGTAGTGGGCCACCTTTTCCCTACCAATTAGACGAGATCTTTCTCTCTCTCTCTCTCTGTCTCTGTCTGTCCAAGGTTCTTAAATAAATTTCGTGTCCTGAAATCCTTTTGGAGATTTCCGCACAGTTCTCTTAATCTTTTTGCCCATTTCTTTCCTTAAACTTTCGTTGTTGTTGAGTCCTGCTGCTGCTGCTGCCCCTTCCCAGATGAGATTTTCCAACAATCAAGTCAAGATTTTCTTCTTGTTTTCCTTGGCCTTTTCGTGTTTTCTCTCCCTGAGTGTGTGCGTGTGTGTGTGTGTTCTTTTTGTCCAACTCATTTATTTGTATCTGCAAACAATTAAGTTACTTTCGGTTTGGCCTGTGCCCCCAGTCGTCGCTTGTATTTACTTTTTCCACTGTTTTTTCCCAGAGAGAAAAGTTGTGCGAAACTTAAAAAAATAATCACAAATACCCCGGCGGATGCACACACACACACACACACACATATATAGAATGCCAGTAGGAAGTTAGTTGCTTGTTCAAATGCGATAAGAAAGTTTTTCAATAAATTTTGCACAGCAAGTTACTGGGTAAAACTTACGGCACGGCACCCCAGCCTCTCTCTCTCTCTCTCTCTGCCTGTCGTTGGGTGTTGTTCTAAGTCGGTAAGCTGGCGCCCCAGACAAAAGTCCTCCCGGTGTCTCGGACCAAATCCAGAGCCAAATCCAAACTCAATGCTAATGAGGATTGCCTGCCGAAGGTCAGCCATGGTCGTCCTTGTGTCCTGCATGTTTGCTGATGGCGCATTAGCTTGGATTTTGATTTTCCAATGGATTTACCCCAACACACACAAGCGGTGGCTGTGGGTGGGCGAAAAAGGGAAAATTTCAAGTGAAACGGTTAGCAATAAATAATAGAGCAAACTGCTAAAACATTGCCAGTGCTGCATACAAAATGAGATCGAAACTGGGGCTCTGGGACGGACGACCCCTGCTCTTACCCTCCGTTTGCTAATACGTTTAAGATGAGACGACAACATGTGCAACGCTTGCCGCCATCGACCCTGTTGACCCGAGCATAAATCTTCAGCCACTCGAACGCCAATGCACTTGCCATGGCTCTGGCTCTGGTCTCTGTGTCTGTCCCTGTCTCTGGCTTCCTGCTCCCGGAACCCAGCTACCATTTGCTGCCTCCATGGTACGCCCAGTTCCATTTGGTACTTGCAACCCTCTGACTGCCACTCTGCGTCTGCTTTTTGCGCATTAAACTCACGTCGCTGGCCGGCTAGTTGGATGGCTGACAGCGTTTAAGCTGCCTGATTGCCAATAGTGGCAGTTAGTGTGCTCCCATCGATGCAACAGCAACAGCTAGCTGTCCAGGCGACAAACTGCTCGGAAGACTCGACTGACTCGACAACTTCCTGAATGACTTTAAATATTGATTAAATAGAGTTGGGGAGAGAGCGACTTGGTCTCTCAATCATTACACAAAATTATTTAAATGGAAATGTAAGCTATAATTTCTTATTTAAAAAAAGTTGGACAGTGAAAGGTATCACTATATTCTAATTAAATCTGTGTCGCAAATCTTTCTACAGTACAAAGAGCAGAAAATCGAAAATATCTCAAAAATATTTCAGTTTTAAAAAGTATATTAAAGTAGGAATTATATTATATTAGAAAATTATTTTCGGTACCATTTAATATCGGAAATGGGAGAGGAGTTAACTTTATATAGATTTTATGTAGGTACTATTTTGCACTCGGGATCGATGAATTTGAATTTGAATTGCCCCGATTGCTCTCCCTAATTATAGTCGATTTCAGTTGCGTTTACTTTCGTTTTGTCGCCTGGCTGTGCCATTGAACTATCCATTAAATTGTCGTTTAATGCTGGCTCTTCGGTGTGCTGTACCCGTGTGTCCGGCCTTGTCTCTCATCCCAACCAGTCCAATGGCTGGGAGCCAGTTATCATCGCATCGAATCGCATCGATGTGCAGGTCCGGCCTTTCCTTTCCTTTACTTTCCACTCCAAGTGATGTTCTGCTGGTTGGCCTGGACAACGCTGACACAACGATAACAACGTGGAGGAGCGTACAAGTATGTGAACGTGTGCTCGGCTCAGACAGGGGATTTCAAAGTTATTTGCCGCAATCTCAGACACAAAGTTAAACATTTCATTCGGCCACAGCTTACTTTAAACCGCTCTACATCCCTCTCTCTCTCTCTCTTTCTTCTTACAGAGTCTCGGATTCCCTTTGGTTTCGCTGTCGCGTGTGAATCGTACCTCCGCCGAGCTGCTGTACGTGAAGGGAGACCCCTGTCCCACGGACAAGAAGGCGGAGCTGTCCACACGCATCCTGTTTAACTGCAATATGCGTGCGGGTCGTGTAAGTAGCGCAAAGGACTGGTCCAGAGAGCGGCATTTCGCCATTTGGCATCGACATTTGATCTGCCATCTGCCTGCCTGTCCGGCTGCCCACCAGTTGTGGCATGTCCGATGGTGTCTGCTCTTTAGCAAAGTGCTTTTATTTACCCCCCCTTGGTCCTTGTGCTATCGTTCACCTTTCTTTCTGACAACTGTTTACTCCTCCTTCTCCTCCTCCGCCATTTAGGGGCAACCCGTGCTCCGTTCGATTGAGGACTGTGCCTATGATTTTGAATGGGAGACGAATGTCTTTTGCCCGCCGCACGAGTGCACTGTCAGTGCAGAGACCTGCGACCTGGTGCACGACGAGCTTGGTCAGCGATTCAACTTCAAGAGTGCACCGTTCACCAAGGACGGAAAGATCGAGGTGAGTGGATGATGATAAGAAGTCGTCTCAAGTGCCTGTGCCATAATCGATGTCTACCCTACCGCCCTGCAGGTGGACTACAACAATACCAAGCTGTCGCTGGATCTATGCGGACAGCATCGCAAGGCCATGACGGACTATTCCCAGGCGCTGGTCAACATTTTCTTCACACACGATGCCCCTAATTGTGGCAAGGAAGGTGAGGCCAAGTCTACCGGAGGCGGGGGTCAACGGATTTAATTCGATTTACATATCCTGGCACTTTGTTCTTGCTCAAGAGAACCCGAGAGCTGGAGAGAACGTTGTCGCTTGTCGCTTCCGTTTCCGTTTCCGCTTCCCGTTCCGCTGGCGCAACACGCGCATTGCCGCCATTTTGTATGCCTTTCTTTGTCTGCTTTGCAACTTTTTCGTGGGTCCCCGTACATGCACCGCTCCGTGGGCTGTTTTTTTGCCTGTGAAAACGGTGGGGGAAATCGCATTAGAATTGGCGCACAGCCCAATGCACTTTCTTCGCGCTTATCCCTTCGCCTCTCCCTACTGGCATTTTATCGCGTCATTTTTGTCGCTTGTATTTTTTTTGGTGCCTCCACCACCACCACCACTATGTTGGAGCCGGGTCGGCGGGTTTTTTGCAGCTGCGACTCTTTTTTTTTCGGGGCTGCTTCTTTTCTAGTTGTTTGCCTTTTAACTGAGATTCTTTTTGTCTGTCTGCGGTGGAAATAAAAAGGAAGCAGCAGCATGTTTGAAATTATACAAATAAAACAAGGAAGCAGGCGACACATACGCGTGCCGAAGGCTTAGATACCCTTGCTGATCCATGCTACCCATGCTGACGGCTATAAAGGGATCTGATTTGGATATAGAGATAGAAACATATAAAAAAAACAATCGAGACTTTATGTAAATCCCTTTTTGACTGATCTTAAATTTGCTTTTTGAGCGTTGAGTCCCACGGAAGCTACATCCGGTAGTAATACTTGTAAGATTTTTCTGGATCTGGATTAACCTACATTCTGTAGCAGAGCTTCATCCATAGATGGTATATCCTTGTGACTGTTGATTCCTTCTCATACGCAAAAAACTCTTAATCTTCTGCATTGTCAACATCTGTTTGAAATCCTAATACCCAAAAGAAAGGGTAACAAAAGTGGAAAATGGAGCAAAAAAGAGAAAAAACTGTCTACGAGATAATGCGGTAAAATAAACTTGCTGCACTTGAGAATATCTCTGTATTTTTTTCGGGTTTCTCCAGGGGGTTTTCCGTTTTTACTGATTTTTTTTTTATTTTTGTGTGTGATGATGTGATACTACTGCATGAATATTTAATGCATGCAGAGTGGAGAGTGGAGGACAGAGAGTGGGAAACAGAAACAGTCAAAACGTGGGTGAGTGGTTCAGTTGTGGGACTCCTTACCCCTCCAGGGACCTGGAGCCTGCCATATATATGGAGCACAATGATTTTTATTCGACCCATTGCATGGCACTTAAAACTTTGCCATTAAAACGCAAAACTTTTTGTTTTGACAAATAAAACTGACGACGATTTAATTATGACACATTCTCTGGCCCTGTCTCTGTCTCTGCCTCGGCTCCTGCCTCCTCCTGGGGCATAAAATGAAATTATTTCAAAACTCTTTTGGCCACAGAAATTGTATGTGTGTGTGTGGGTTTGGCTTGTTTTTGTTTTTTTTTTTTGTCCATTCCATTGTTGGAGCACAATGCGCAATCTGCAAGCGATCAGACAATTTTAATGTGCCGCACAGTGACAGGCGTTAGCAGATACCAGAAATGTTTCGGAAACAGTCGGCACAGTCGGAGGATTGGGTGCCGTGCCGTGCCTGTGGATTGCTGCGGAGGAGTGTGTGCCAGCTTACAGACAATGCCCAAATCCCATCGAGTTGTTGGCATGCAGATTTTGTGTGGCTTTGCGACTCTGGATCCCTTTCCACACACACACACACAGCGGCTCGTAGACAACACATTTCATGCTGAGCATTTGACCGACAAGAGTGGCAGCCTGACCTGACCCTCCAGATGGAGGAGGAGCAGAGGCCAAAGCACAACCCGGAACGTAACCGAACCGTAGAGCTTTTGTTTCTGTGTCTGTGGTGATAATTATTTTTGGCTTTTATGCGATAACTTTGCGGTGTCCAGGCCCATCCCCATCCCCATTCGCATCCAAAGCCACTATTGAGACTCTCCTATCATTTGAAATTTTGATAAGGATACAGCGTTGATGTTTTGTGGTCCGGTGGATGGCAGGCTATATCCTTCTGTCTGGGCCAATTAAAACAGAATGAACCGGGGCTCGGATTTGGCTGTGGGTTCGGTCTGCGTTTTATTAGGGTCAAGATTGCTGTGAATGTGGCTTCATTTGAACTAATTAAACTGATTCTTTCTTTGGCGAGCGACTAATTCACATTACTTGCTACACTTTCAGGCACGATGAATGTCCAGATACGTTTGATATGCAGCAACGAGACGCAGAGTTCCAGCACCATCTCCAGTGTAAGTAGAAGCTCAGCCGGTAAAGCAACAACAACCAACACATCTGTGCGGCTTATCCTCGCCTTCCGCAAAGGATTACACACAAAGTGTGGCATACTTTTCCGAGCCCTGCCAAATGCGCATCAAAGAAAACGCGGGGCGGTGCCCCAAACAACAATGGAAGATGGAGATCCTGTACACTTTGCGTATATATATGTATATATATATATAGTCTCTGTGCTTTTCTTTTTTTTGTGCTGTGTCTTGGTGCTTCTTTTCTCAAAGTCTTGCCACAAGGCAAGGACTTGGGCTTCAAAGTGAAAATGTAAGAAATATGTGTGCGGAAAAAGGCAACCAGGGACCAACAGAGGCGGGTCCCGGGTTGAAAGCAAAACGTGGCAGGTGTCCTTTGTTATGCTTACCACTTGGCAATCGGCTTTGCCGTGCTTCTGCTCAGGCTTGTACTGCGGCTCCAGGGTCCTGCAGCTGCTCCTGGGTACACCCTTGCTCCTGCTGCAGTCCCTTTTGTCCCCCCACCTTTCGAATTGTTTCCAGTGGGAGTCCGTGCTGCTTTGTGCTTTGTGCTTTGCGGCCTCGATGTCATTTCCCTTTTTTGTTTTTGCGGTTCGCTTTGCATGTCTTTCCTCTTGTCTATTGCTTTCACATAGCTCTTACCCCCAATGCCTCGGATGGGGCTATTGTTTCTTTGGGTCGCCTGTTTGGCGGGTGTTGCTGCCGCCTAAGCCTTTGTTTCCATAACAATCGCAGCAGTCTGAAATGCAGATGGCCAACAGATCAGGCAGCCTTCGCCTTGGCTTTGCTGCTGCTGAGGATGCTGCTGTGACCTCCTGGCCTCCTGATGATCTTCTGGTGTGCTATTAGCAAATGATTCTGATGCCAACAGACAGAAGTCGGCAGGGCTTGAAATTTAATTACAAACCAAGCTGCAACCTTTTCTCCTGCACGTGCATACACATACATACATATATGTACTATGTACTTACTTGTAATATAATTAAGTTGCATTCGCCTGCAGCACTTTGACTAATGACCATGGCTATGGCTATGGCTATGACTCTGACTTTGCTGTGGTCGTGCTGCTGCTGTTGCTGTTGCTGGCAGGACCTTCAGCATCATTAGCATGCCCATATGTATATGTATATGTATATGTATATGGGTATAGGACTATGGGTGTGCTCTGAAAGTTCTCTCTCTCTTTAAGCTAATTAATATTTGTTTGCGTTGCTTATACGACAATTAACCGCAGGTAGCATGCGCCCCCATGCCAGGCACAATGCATCGCAATTAGTGGCAAAGAGCCCCAGCCCCAGCTCCAGCGTTGCATTATAGCCAGCTTCACGAAAAATGTTTTGCAATTAGTGCTTACGATACCCGTATACCCGTACACCCATTCAACCCATATCATCTAACCGCATTTGTAGTCCATTACCCCAAAAATTACCAGAGGAATCAGTGCTGATTGAAAACATTTGCCAGAATGCCAGACTACCAGACTATCAGACTTCCAGAGTGCCAAAGTGCCAGAGTGTTTTGTAGGTCGATTGTTCTATATTTCGTTTGCAGAGCTACCCATGGCCACCCATCGATTGGGCTGGTGGCACTCTCTCTGCCTTCTGTTTGGTTTCGATTTTGCATTTGTGGCACCCAGGCAATTGACCCAAATTTAAACCAAGCTGCAAGCTGTTTGCCACCTCTGACAAACATTTCAAAATCGAATTGCCAACGGGGCGAGGGTGTCTGCTCCCCTCCCCCTCCCCCAAATGCAATCTCTGTCAATGAGGGGGATGCACAGTCACAGGCACATCCACATCCACTGTCTGTTGCTGTTTGAATCTGTGCTAATTTTGTTTGAATATTATTTGTTGCTTACTGGGATGCTGGCTAATTGATCGGACTAAATCAACAGGTTAAGCAGAACATGATGATGGTTTCTGTCCATCCAGCATTCAACGAAGGAAACGGGGAAAAAAAAACTAAAACTCAACTCAAGCTCAACGCGAAAACATCACCCCAAAAAGAACACGCCCAACACGTTTTAATCCTTGAACTGTAGAGCGGAAAATAACACTCTACAGGATATGTACGAGTATATCCCATGAACGACAACTTTTGGCCAGCAACAACTAAAAATAGGAGGCAACATGGCGACGACGCTGTAGGAAAATTAGCGATTCAATGAAATGGGATTTTAAATGGCTGCAAACTTTTTAATGCGTCGTCGTTTGGAGGGAGGTCCTGTGCTCCACTGCTTCACCATCCGTTCGCTCTATCCCACTGGCTGCAGTGGAGCTGTGTTGCTCCTCCTGGACATGTTCGTGTCTGGCGCGGCGCCTCGCCGTGACGGGAAAGTTTCCCCCAGTTGTTGGCTGGCTGGCTGGCTGGTTGGCTGGTTGGTTGGCTGGCTGCCGTTTTTGCCACTTGCAGTTGCCAGTTGCAGCTGCAGTTTCGGGCCGCGAAAGTTTTTAAATTATGCGCACATTTGCCGTTTCATTCTGCCCGGTGGAGCGCTGGTCGCGACGGAAATGGTCTTTGGGTGAAAGTGTTACAACAGGACGAACGCCGAACAACGAACAACGAGCAACGAAGGACGAAGGAAGGGCCTGCCTGGGTGGCCGGAAACAAGTTGCGAGCAGTTGTTGCGCCACAAATTTGCGCCAGGGTGGGCCGTTCACTCCTATTTTAGTTGGAAATTTATGCCTTTCCCCATATCAATTTATTTATTTATTTTCTTTTGCACTTAATGAAGAAAGTTTCTAATTACAAGAATCCGTTTCCTTGCAGGACCAGCAATGCAATTTGCTTTATGTACAGCGCACGCCGAGCATCTGCCAGTTCCTGGCCCTCAGTGTGCCCCAGCAGGATGCCGGAGGTGGCAGCAGCAGCAGCAGTGGCAGCTCCAGCAGTAGCACCAGCACCACCAGCACCACGACACAAGCATCGCCAGCGGGTAAGCCAACCAAGGCAGCAGCCATCTCGCCACCAGGCACGTCAGCCACGTCGACAACGACAACATCAGCTGGCCCCGAGCCGGCGGCTGCTCCCATCGGGCCAACGGCCTCCGTGGGCAGTAAGTGCAACACAACTGCTGGCCAACAGATCTACCGCCTGGCATCCGTCACTTGTAACGCTTATGTTTCCCTTTTACAGCCATCCTGGCGGCCATTCTATCGGTGACATTCTGTGTGACGTGCCTGGGACTGTTTGCCTTTTCGCCGGCGCGAAGGCATCGCGTGCGTCGCCTCTTCCGGCGCAGCAACTCCGCCGTCAGATATTCCAGAGTAAGTGAACGGCCATGGCTGTGGCAGCAGCACTCAAAGAGCTAATGGCCAACCCCACCCCAACCCACTGTCGCCTGCAGGTACAGTCGAACGAGGAGGCCAATCTGCTGCTGGAGCCCAATGGCGAGTTTACCGAAAGCGATGATGACATGCTGCTTTAGGTGGCATCCATGGCAACACGTCTTCGCCATTAAATGTGGATAATGTGGCAGAGACAATGAAGGTGTACTTGGAGCCACGCAGCAGCCCAAAGTGCAGAAAATTGAACACCAAAGACATAACTGAAACCGGAACTGATTGTGAGCTAAAAACAAAAGAAACTAAAACTGTAGTAAGGAAATGTAGGGATAAACCTTGAATAAGATTGAACATGTGAAGATGTGAGGAGAAGAGAACTGCTAAAGGATGTTGATATATAAAATTGTACAATACGCATAGGCTACAACGACAACAAATTAATGGACCTACATATATATATATATATATTATATATTTTATATACACTTCATATAAAAAAGAAGAATCCCCCCAATCCAAAAACCCCAAACCCCTTTAGCTATATGTAGTTAACCCAAAGAGAAGCATGGGACAATTGCTTATGAATTTGAATAGTATTTTCGCAGCAAGTTTTGCTTTTATGCGATCATTTACGAGTACTTAAACCACTTGGTGTGTGTCTGCACCGTTTTTGTGTAACGTTAAAGGTATTCCTTCCCCTGCAACGATGTTTTTATTTTGTAGGCAAAACTTTTTATTTTGATTTGTTCTGTATGTGTTTTTCTTAATGATTAAGGTCGATAATATTTTAATAATTGTACAACTTTGAATGTGTATACAAATATATTGAAAATTTAATAACATATAAACAAAAATATTTTTTGGATTTTGTCTGCGTAGTATACCAGGTAAGTGAAGTGACCCACCTTTGTGGGTCCTAACTGAAAATATTATCTACTGATAGCATACAAATATTAAGAGATTATTTATTCTTTGGCTTGGCAAGTAAAATCCTCCAACTCAAACATTTCTTTATTATACCCGTACTCAAAAAAGAGTTAAGGGGTATATTAGATTTGTGGTAAAAGTGGATGTGTGTAACGCAGAGAAGGAAACGTTTCCGACCCCATAAAGTATATATATTCTTGATCAGCATCAATAGCCGAGTCGATATAGCCATGTCTGTCTGTCCGTCTGTCCGTCTGTCTGTCTGTCCGTCTGTCTGTCTGTCCGTCTTGTTGAGCGCCTAGATCTCAAAGACTATAAGAGCTAGGGCAACCAAATTTGGTTTCCAGACTCATGTGATATCACACTTGTACAAGTGTATTTCAAAATTTCGCCCCGCCCCCTTCCACCCCCGCAAAGGACGAAATCTGTGGCAGCCACAATTTTAAAGATACGATAAAACTAAAAGCGCAGTATCGTAGAGAATGACCATATCTACCAGACTGCCGAATCTGAATAAGATCGGATCATAATTATAGCCAGAATGAAGAAATTAATTTTCTGTTGCTTCCCCTGCCCCCTCCTGCCCACAACAACGCAACTCAGTTTCCTTCTCGCTCGCACACTCTGCCGCGTTCAGTGCGCGAGCAACCCCTAGCGAAGGAGATGTAGAATAAGAATGGAACATGTACAATCTACATGTTAGATGTAGAATAGACATTGTATATGTAGATGTAGATAACAGATGTAGCAACAAAATGTAAAATGTAAAATTTTTTTTTTTTTTTCTAAAATTTTAAAAAATCATAAGCTCAAAAATGTATATACTGACTGAGTACGGGTATAAGTAGAGTCGTGTCCCCAGAAACGACTCGCACGTTCCTTCTCGTTCTTACTTGGTACTGATCTGAATTAGGTAAAATTGTAGACGTAATCCATCAAAAGTACTGAGTTTTCTGCGCCAAATAATTTGTAAATGCTCTTTAAAAATTTTGAGAAATATATTAGATTTTCTTTGCTTAATTTGTCACTTAATTTCTCACTTGTTCACGAGGATTGTTTATGCTTCGTGCCTTGTTATACCTACTAAGTAGTGAATAAGTTAGGTTTAGGAATCCCTCCAAATTCTAATCAGTGAAATTTGGGAGGCTGAAGACTAAACTGAAGACTGGTCCAAGGCAATATTCAAAAGAATATCCATCGAATGTAGAAAGACTTGTTTGGTCAAATTATACAAGATCCAAACCTGAAACTGTTTCGAAAACCTCCCGATACATGCTTTCGAGATAATAAACACTGTTTTAATTTTTTAAAATATATTTTATTTACGTTGTATGTGTGTGTGTGTATTTTCCATATACAATCAGATTCATATTCAGATTCAGATTCATACACATATATGCACACAGAATGATGTATGTAGATGAGAGTCTGCACAAATGTTGTAGGTACCTTAGGCAATTACATATTGTATCCGTAGAGACAATCTACACATAGCTTAGACGGTAGTGTGTATGTATATACTCGGTACTATATTTAAGCTTAATTACATTTACGTATCATAAACGATATCTTGTGTCCTGTGTATGAAATGAAGAGCCTGTCTCTAGCGATGTGTGATAATGTGGTAGGAGGCCGTACAGTTCATACAGTATATCTTATGCATATAGCGTCGTTTAAATGGTCGTGACGAGTGATAGGGGACGGGGGGAATATACTCGTACGAAGTACATACATATACATATATGTACGCATAGTATGCATAATTGATATTTGCGTTAGTTTTTGTGAATGAAGGAGAATCTTGTGCGATACATTTGCTTGCTTGGAAAAAAGTACAGAAACTCTCATATTCAGCATAGTATGTACAGTAGTTGTGGTAGTATATGTGGTAGTTCATGGTGTATTTGCAATCGAATATGTATGAGGATATGAGTGTAGGAGAGTAGGCTACAATTTACTTAGGCTATAGAATACATACATACATACAATAAAGGCAATTTGTATATCTCTTTCTGATTTGTTAGATCTACTATTTGGATACGTCATATGTGTATTGCATGTTGTGTGTGTGTGTGTTATGAGGGGGTGTGGGGGTTTCTTTAAGTGTCAAATAGTTTGTTCAAAATAAAGCTCGATTTTTGTTCGAAAAGTTCTCAATGGATTCTGAATCGGTGATGAGATTCGTTCAATGTGTAAAATAGATGTATGTGTAGAATAAAGGCAGCTTAAAATGATGAATTAACAATAATTTAAATGTACAAATAATTACTAAATAATTGAGATTTGTTTATGTTCTACAAGAGTCTGCACAGGGTCTAGGCGCTAGGCTTACAAATAACACTTAACAGAGAGCTAGAGAGATTCATTGCCATCCTTATTATAGTATTTCTCTTTTGTTTTCTCATTTGTTTCTTTCTCTTCTCAACACAAGGCCACATGAAATATTGAAAATAGAAATTTTCATAAACTTTTCCTCCCCCAGAGAGATAATTAAAACCAGGAAGGGAGGTATCCCAGAGGGATGCAGAGGGAGCAGAAAACTTGACCAAAACATGCAGAATAATCAATAATTTTCTATAGACTTTTTACATTCAGCTGTGGATGCTCTCTGTGGCTGCGGCTGCGGCTGCGACGGCGGCTGTGGCTCTGACATCCATCATTCTTCAACGGAACAATAGCTCATCGTCGGGCTCGAACTGGAATAGTTCCGCCTTCTCCCAGTCCTATACGTCGCTCTGCTTGGCATTCGTGTTGATGATGAAGGCCCCGTTGATGTGGCCATTGGCATGCGATTTGCCATTGTGTGGCGTGTAGAGATTCGTCAGGCCATTCTTGCCATTGGCAATCATGATGGCCGTGTGGGGCGTGCCGCCGTTCAGCTGTGCCACCAGCGGATTTTTTGTGGCCTCCGCCGGCGGTGTGGTCAGCGGCGGCGTCACCGGCGAGGGTTTAATCAGCTCCAGCTTGTCGTCTGTGGAGCCCTTCAGCGGCGACTTGACCAGTGCTCCATTGCCCACATTTCCAAGCGGCTTGCGATGGGGCAGGGCGAAGCGCAGCTTATCCCAGAACCACGGATCGCCCCACTTCAGGTAGGTGTTCATCTTGAGGTACGCCTTCAGCTCCTCGTCCAGCTTCTCCACGTCTCCGATGTCCGAGTAGATGACCACAATGATGCGGGCACGGCCCTCGTTCAGGGCCGCTCTGTGGGCCGCCCGGAACTCCATGCGCGCCCACTCCGACTCGATGAAGTTCTGGCTGAGCACGATGATGGTGCGTCGCGAGTCCGCCACAGAGCGCACGATATTCTCGGGAATGAAGCCGCCGACCAGCCAGTCGCGTTCGTGCACACAGAGCTGGAACTTCTGGGGTCCGTGCTCCAGCTGGGGGACGAGGTACTGCTCGATGAAGCTCTGGTCCTTGTGCGAGTACGAGATGAAGGCATCGAACTTCTTGTCCTTGTCCAGCTCCTCCTCGGTGACGAACCACAGGAACATGTTGTGCGCGTACAGCCAGATCTTGATCTCCGTTTGGTATTTGTAGTAGAGGGCGGCCGTGATGCCAGCCAGGAAGCCAGCCAGAGAGATGATCACAGCCATCGCAATGAAGACGCCCTTCTCCTCCGGACAGATATCGTTCGTCGAGAGCTCCGCCATTCGTGTGGGCATCTCGGCGTCCATGCACAGCATCTCACCGCGATCCCCGATCCTCTCGTAGTTGCTCTGCGTGAAGAGCAGCAGCGGCTTGGCCTCGCAGTTGCAGATCCACGGATTGCCCGACAGCATCAGCGATCGTCTGGGCATCGTGCGATTGAGGAAGCCCAGCACAGAGGTGTTCAGTGCCTGCAGATGGTTGCGCCGCACATCGAGGTGCTTCAAATTGGGCGGCAGTCGGTCCACATCGATGTGGGTGAGATTGTTGCCGGCCAAGTGGAGGCTCGTTACGTTCTCGTAGCCGGGAGAGCGGGCCGGAGGCAGGCTGAGCAGCGTATTGTTGTCCAGATAGAGTTCCATGATGTGCAGATTGTCGTAGAGGGTGGGCAGCTCTGGCACCTTGGTGAGATTGCCCTCGTGGCATTTAATGACCAGCGCCTTGTCGAAGGTGCGCACCCAGCATCTGCAGCCGCGCGGACACCGCCGCTGGCCGGGCTCCTCTGCACTGCCGATGGGACAGATGAGCTCCTTCGGCGGCACCAGACGCACTGGCAGATCCAGCAGGTTGTGCGGCTGACTGCAGGTGAGTCGATCCGTGTAGAACCTGAACTGTTTGGCATACTCCGGCACATGGGCGCCCCTCACCAGCTGCACGAACCACAGCAGAGTGCAGTCGCACACCAGAGGATTATCGTTCAGATCTATGCGAAGGACACTCGAGGACATCTCCCCATCGGGCATCACCGCCAGCTCCTGATAGAAGTTGATTCTGCTGATCTGATTGTGGGTGATGTTCACCAACAAATTG